GATGTGCATAGGACTTGGAGTGAAAATAGGGTAGGGTAGGAGTTGGTCTCGTTAGAGAACTCAGGGAAGGCTTCTTGGAGGAGGAAACTTTTGAGTTGAGGGCTGCAGGTAGGAGTAGAGCACATTCCAGGAGCTGGTAGAGGCCAGGGCCTCTGGAGTCCAGAGAGGGAGGTGGAGGCCAAGACACGGAAGGGCCTCTCAGGCCTTGGGAGGGACTTTGGTCTTTGTTCTTGGAGCTCTGGGAAGGCATCGCAGGACTCATTGCTGGAGCTGACATGATTGGGTGGAAAACTGACTGGAGGGACAAAAGTGGATGTGAGGAGACCAGAGAGGAGGCAGTTGCAGTTATCCAGGCACATGGGGGTGTTTGGTTTAGGGGTCGCTGATAGCGATGGGAAGGAGTGTGCAGGATTGAGATTCTTAGGAGGCAGACTGGACAGACTTGGGAAGGAGACTGTGCTGTCAAGGACGACACGTGCGTGTCTTCCTCTGACTTGTGTGGCAGGACAAATGGTGGTGCCCTTTGCTGAACTGGCGACTGAAGAGGCCCTTGGTTGGCTCTTTCGGGAGAGGGTAAGAAAGGCGAGAGAATTTGGTTTTGAGCATGTTGAGTTGTACCTGGGAACTGGGGTTGTGGGATAAAGCTGCAGTCTCTCCGGGGCTTGTGTCCACCTCTCAGCTCTCACTATGGGTCCTCTCGTCTGGGGAATCTCAGACACTCCACGCATAAGCCAGCTTGTGTTGCTGTGACTGATCAGATCAGTACAACAGTTTTGAGGGCCACTTTGTCCAGCCCTGTCATAGGCACTCACTGTGCGTCATGACATGAAACCCCTCAGGAATAGTTCCAGGATCATTCTTAACACAAGGTGAGGAGGCTCAGAGAGTAAGGGTAACTGGCCTTCAGAGAAGGGAGAGATGAGCACAGCTTAGGTTCTTTGGTGTGTGTGCGCTTTTAGCAGCCAGGACGCCAGTCCTGTTGCAATCATTTACCTCGGCAGTTGGTCTTCATCAATTGTAATCAGTTTCTAAGTCCAGGGAGCTGTGACAGAGTAGTGAAAACTTTTAAAGGTAGTTATATAATAGATACACTGAAAAGAAATATAATTGTAAGATTACCTTGAGTCCTTCATCATGGGGGTGTCCATATGCCTGTGTGTTTGTGTGTGCACATGTATGTTAAGTTTTACCCAAGGAGCAAAAGGAAATAGCTTGACGTATGGTTTGCCTCATAAAACCTGTGTAGATTAAGATAGTTTCTAATTTTTAAAAAATTATGATAAACCTTCTGTTTTACTGAACAAAGAATGGTACTTAGGTTAAATTGTCTTAAACTCTGTGCAGATTAGTATCCAGTGTGGCAGAGCATGGCATCTCCAGGAAGAGGAGGGCACTTTCTTCTGGTCCCTTAGTGAGAAGACAGCTTTGGGAGCAGTCTTTGAAGGCCCAGACTTCTAGCTGCTTCTACACCCCTAATCCCTCTGGTCTCCTCACTCAGAGGCAGAGCCTACTTAACTCTGTAAAGCAGACATTTGTCCTCCCCAGAGGCTGCCAGTTATGATTTCTCTCTGGTCTGGCCAGCATTCTGCCTTTCTAGCAACAGATGTTTCTGCAAAGTAAATATTATTGACCGTGCTTGGCTCCTCAGTGTGTCTTGCACTGCCTGAACATGAAACAGTGGGGTTATATGAGCAGGGTGCTGCGAAGCTTGGCATGCACCCAGCACCAGCACTGGCCTCTCCTCCTCCTCTCCTCTCCCTGGAGTGTGCATGTTAGATTCCTGTGTGTATCAGAGTGAAGGCCCCAGAAAGAAATCTCTGTGCAGCTGCATATCCAAGGTGATTATCTGCATGAGATGCCACCAGTCCTTTTGGGTTGAAGTAGAACAAGAGGCAATGGCTCGTGGGTGTTCTCTTTTTGATGTCCTCTCCATTGTCCCAAGTAACAGAGAAGTGTCTATCTTAATGTGGTGAGGCAGCCTGGTGTGCCCACATGCCGCAAGGATCTTGGTTCAGAGGACTTGATTGAGTCACAGATCCCCTGTGTGCTCTTAAGTCAGTCCTTTAACGTTTCTGAGCTCTCAGTACAGGTAGTCATGCTTTACCTCCCTGGGTCCTGTGATTGGAGGATTCACATATTAGGGAAGAATTGCCCAGCCTTGCCTAGAACTGAAGTTTACGGTGTATAGAGTGCTGATTACATAGTGTGTCTCACTGGATCTCCTGACAGCCTCACGGGTTAGGAAGGGCTGACAACTTCTGTTAGATGAGATGACGGAGACTCTGTGACTAAGCTAGGATAGTTACATATGTGGTGAGTGGTGGAGCTGAAACTTGCACCCCAGAGCTAGTGGAGGTTGGGGTGAGGGCTGGGGAAGGGGCTTATCAGCCTGGTTGTAGGCTCCAGTGCAAGTGGAGAAGGGAGTTTCTCCAAAGCAACCTCGAGATGCTGTCCCAAAGCCTGGGGAGCGGAGGCTGAACGAGCAAAACAACAGGTATCCACTGCACCTTCACTGAAAGATTTCTCGCTTAAGCATGAGTCATTGAAGCCCATGGTGAGTTCCTTTTCAGCTTCCAATAAGTAGGATTCTCACTCTACCCAGCTGTCCTCACTGGCCTACAGCCCAGTAATGACTCCATACCAGTACTCATTACCTAATCTTCCATCGGGGGGACTGGCTTCTTTATCAGCTTTGTGGGGCCCAGATCGCTTCTCAGGTTTGTGCTGTGGCGGGGTGTGCTGTGTGCCACCGGACAATGAAATTGGGTTACCTCTGGTCATAAGCTAGCAGGTCCTGTTCCTTGTTAAATGAGTCTTCCTGTGAAAAGGCCCCACAAAAGCTTCGTTGTGCGTTATTAGCCACTCCTTGATCCTCATTGGCAACTGCCGCTGGCAGCTCAGCTCTTCAGGTGCGTGCTGGGAGCTTTCCCAAGCTTGGCTTACTTTTCGGCTTTTTTCTACTTTGTTAAGATGGTTGTCCAGCTTGAGTCTGTCTTGCCCTGTTGTGGAGGCACAGGAAGCTTGCTAGGTGGGTAAAGAAGCAATCCTGTTCTTACTCTTTGCTCAGGTCTTTCTTTGTGAGTTCTGAAGCTTTGATCACAAGAATGTTCTGACTAAAATAAGACTGAGTTCAACCTTGCGCACATTCCACGCTTACACCTTTGGCCTCTTGGAGGGCTTTGTCTTCCACTCTGAAAGATTATTCCTTTTTTCCCTCCTGCCTGCCTGTGGCCTCCTGTGTCCTTCCTCCCCACAGTGTTCTGACTTTCCAATGCGTCTGTTCCTTTCTTGACTTGCCAGGGAGTAATTTGTGTTCTCAGGGATATCCTCAGGCTGTGTTGGCCAGTTTTAAAAGATGTCTGATTCCCCTGCCAGCATCTTTGGACCTTTTGTCAAGGACCATTCCATTAAAGTGACTGAGCCAGGGAGAGACCGGAGACCCTTGGCTGTTGGCTCCTGTGTTCTCCTTGTCCACTCCAAGTGTCTTCCTCTTTTGGTGTAGAGCAGAGGACCTTACAAAGGCCACGGCTAACCCCACACCCTTGTTATCCAAGCCTTTGGCAGGTCCATTCCAGATTAGGAGCCGCTGGTATCCACATGGTAGCCTGAGCCCCAGACCTGAGAACAGCAGGATGGCCTAGCTTGGCTTTTCTGCTGGCGGCCATTGCTGGGAATGAATGCTGGGCTTGGCGAGCTGAACACCAGGGGTTGAATTTGTATACAATGCCCCCGCCTCCCCCTCCTCTCCACACACACATTATTCAGCAGACACTGAGCAGGATGCGCTGTCACGTATGTGGACAAGAAAGAAACAAAACCAAAAGATGAAAAAAACATGGCCCCTAACTTCAAGGGACAAATCTGGGAACTAAAAAGGAGAAGTGCTGAGGATCCAGGATGGTTTTATTCCAGTAGGTTATATTGATCTGTGAAGCCAGAAGCTGCCCCCCCGACCCCCCCTTATTAAAGCCAGGCCTTGTTGCCAGTTAGGCCTCATATTTCCCTCCTCTGGGAATTTGAACATAATGCCATTTCCCTTCAATGAGGGAAACATGTACGAGGGTAATTTGAATGATTAGCCTAATCTGCAGGAAGGCTGCACATGGAATTAAGTTAAGCACATTTGTACCAAGCAGCCATGTCTGTCAGGCCACTTAAAGGTACCTTGGTGGTTTTATACCCTTAACAGAAGCTGAGGGTTCAGGAAGGATCATTGGCTTTTATTACTGTCTTAAATGAAAGCTTGTTTTTTAAATTCGACAAGGGCCTCTGAGAGCTTTCTTTATAGATACCATGTGTGGGGTGTGTTTTTACCCCAACCCAGGACATTGCCAGGGCTCTGTTCTCATGGGGGTGGTGGAATGTAGTGACCCAGGGAAATGGCTCAGGTGGAACTTTGTCAGGCTGGCCAGCCACTCTCTCATGAGAGGAGCCAAGAGGGTTCTGAGAACTTGGGCCTCACATGTGCTTGAGCCGGAAGAGGAAGTCCGGGTGCTCCTGTGCCAGGGGGACAGGGGAGTTCCAAGCCCTTTCTTCCAGCTCCATACCAATGCTAGTTTGTGGTGTGAGTTGGACTAGGGGAAGGTATTGTTGAATCCAATGTGGGTGCAGCTTCACTGACCACATGGAGGGTCAGTGCCAGAGCTGAGCAGGAGGGCTGTAGATGCTAATGTTGGCTCTGACTCACCCTTCCTCCCTGACCTCCTTGGGCAAGTGAATTCCCACATGTGTCAAATGGAGAAGACGGGACTCCCTGTGTGGCTTGAGGAATTAGGACCAGAATTGTTAAAGCAAATGTAACAAAAATATTAACTTCCAAAGCAAATCAGTATTTCGTGTTGTAAACAGGTATTCACTATTTTGAATTTACATTCTTTTGTGCTTTGAAACGGACCCAGGAACAAATCTGCTAGCTGCTGTATTAGTGGAAGAACTAAAAAGTACAGTAAATCTAAAAGTCAGTTTATCTCAGTAATTCATGTTTTTCTTTTTCTTGCTAGATTTGTCTTCAGCAAAGCGGAAATTCGCAGATTCCTTAAATGAATTTAAATTTCAGTGCATAGGAGATGCGGAAACAGATGATGAAATGTGTATAGGTAAGTCATAACTGTGTGCAAGATAAAGTTCACTGTTTATCACAACTTTCAGTGTCCTCGCTGAGCCTTTTTCCTGGGATAGGAAGTATCTAAGTGTCATAAATAAAGAAATCCATAGTAACCGTGGAGGGGCCAGAGTTAGGTCAGGCTCAGGGGCCTGGGGCTATTCTGGGCTGCTTCTCAGGGTTCTGAGATTGCCTCTCTCAGCCTCTGGCCTGCAGAAGAAAGCTTGAAGATTTGTGGTAGCACTCTTTTCTTCCTTTTCCTTTAGCATTTGTCATCTGGCTGGTTTGGTGACGTTCTTCCCCCGAAACACAGTACTGAGAACTTAGAACAATAGCAGAATGCACGTAGACAAGGGAAGAATTAGATCAGAGGTTGCAAAATAATAGCTCCTAGGCTGAGATCAGAATGCAGTCATGTTTTCTTTGGCACTCATTTTTTTTTAATTTAATTACCATATAAATTGAATTTATGTATAGTTCCAGTTTTTTTCTTTTTCTTTTTTTTTGAGGAAGATTAGCCCTGAGCGAACTGCTGCCAATCCTCCTCTTTTTGCTGAGGAAGATGGGCCCTGAGCTAACATCTGTTCCCATCTTCCTCTACTTTATATGTGGGATGCCTACCACAGCATGGCTTGCCAAGCGGTGTCATGTCCGCACCCAGGATCCGAACCGGTGAACCTGGGGCCGCTGAAGCAGAACATGAGCACTTAACCGATATGCCACTGGGCTGGTCCCCTATTGTTCCAGTTTTCCAGCTTCTTTGAAAATTGGAGAATCTGATCAGTTGGCCCCACATTCTGACCTGGCTGTAATTGGCTGGAGCTATGTAGCTGCCACTGCCTTCAAATGGGGAGAAGAACTCAGTGTCCAGTTCATAGTGGTCCCCACTCTCCTTTTTGTTTCTTTAACAAGAGGCTGAGGGTGGGGTTACCATTTATCACCTCGCTGTTGCTTCCCTCTTTGCTGTCACCTGTCTCTTCTGTAGGCAACTCTGAGCACAGAGGATTTGCAATGTCGAGACACCTTTCTTTGCTGGGGCCTAGTCATTGCACCTTATTCTTACACTGGACGTCTTTGTTGACTTCATTAAGTGAGCAAGAATTGAGAAAGTTATATTGAATTAATTAAGTCATCAAATGCTTATGGAGTCCCTGTTGCCGTGTGAAATGCCGGGACCTGAGATGAGCAAAGGCAGTTGGGAGACAGCTGAGAGCATTGACAATGCATCATTGTTGTAACTCCTGAGTATATGGATGCTTTTCCCAATATTACACAAATGTCCTGAATATCCTCAGGGCTATGGCGCTTAATGCCTATTGCCTTTTGGAATAATTCTTTCGAGGGAGACTATCCAAGCCTGACTGTCATGCTGCAAACTGCATTGTATTAATAAATGACTTGAGGACTCAAAGAGGAAGAACCCAAGGAGAAGCCAGAGATGTGGCTTCTGATGCCAGCAGTACTGTTTGTTTAGTTCTGATGCCAAAGAAAAGGTTGGGTTCTGACGCAGCCCCGCAACAAAGGTTGAGGAGGTCAGAACCTGGGCAGGAAATCCTTCAGCTCCTAAGCGGAACTCTGCCCCTTCCAGCCTGGGGCCTTGGAGCCGGCCAGCATCTCATCAGTCCTGGGTACTCTCAGGGACAGGCAGGTCTTTTCCTTGAAGGAAATCCTTCCCTGGCTAGCATGCCAGGTGGAATTAACCTGCATTTCTGGGTCATCTTTAATGGTTAATGATTAAAAGATAAAAGGAACCTTGGGAGGCAATTGACTTTAGGTTTCTGCATGTGTCAAGGGATTTCAATCCATAACATAACAGCTGTGTCTGGAAAGGCTCCCAAAGGCTCATTACTTGACTTCCATTCATGGCCCCTTTCTCTTTTCCAGCCAGGTCTTTGCAGGAGTTTGCCACTGTCCTCAGGAATCTTGAAGATGAACGGATACGGATGGTGAGTATGGCTGGGCTGCTCTTGGTCCCAGTGTGGTCACATCAAGGGAATGTGAGATTTGTGGTCAAAAGAACTGGGTTCAAATCCAGGCTGTGCCACTTGAGTACTTTGAGCTCTGATCAAGCCTCATCCTCTCATCTTTGCAGGGTTTGAAGCCTTTTGTAAATGTTAGAGGATTACTCTGGATAACTTTAGAACCACATTGTTGTCTTTCTCAAGCTTCGCTGTAAGCTGTATACATAAAATATATGACTTAAGGGTGGGTCTTTTGAATTATTTAACATTTGGGGGCCTCAGATTCCCTACTGGCAGAATGGGAATGAATGTGTCCTGCTCTGCTCCCCCCTCCTCACTTTATTAAACCCACCCAAGAGCTCTAGCAGGGCGGGGGTCACCTTCACTTTTAATTCTGAAGCACCTAACACAATGCCTGTTGTGTAGTAGGCATTCAGTAAATGGTATTTAGTGAATGATGGTAACTAGAAGAAGTTCTTCAGAGAGGCACTGGGCAAATGGAAGAATCGATGCTGATCTCCAGGTTCTTAAGAGATATCTTTTGTAGTGTGATTTATTCTGATGTGGTTCAGCCTGAACAGACGAGGGATTCCACATCCACAGGGAGTTGTTTTGCATTCTCCCCCATATCCCTGAGATGTCAGGAGTGAAGCCTGATTTGAAATCTCTGCTGGCTGCATGCTGGTTTGTCCCCAGGAGGGCTTGTCCCTAGGCAGCAGTTTTCCAGAGGAATAGGGAGGAGTCCATCAATGAGCATTTTTCTTCTCTCCCCATACTAACAACTGATGGTTTCAGCACTAAGTCTACTGGCTTAGTCTCCTTGGGCTGCCATAACAAAATACCATAGACGGGGTAGCTTGAACTATAAACATTTGCTTCTCACAGTTCTGGAGACTGAGGAGTCTAAGCTCAAGGAGCTAGCTGATCTGGTTCCTGGTATGAGACTTCTTCCTGGCTTGCAGGTGGCTGCCTTCTTGCTGTGTCCTCATGTGGTGGAGAAAGGAGTCGGGGGGAGCTGTCATGTCTCTTCTTAAAAGGGCACTAATCCCGTCATGAGGACTCCACCTTCATGCACTAATTACCTTCCAAAGGCCCCATCTCCAGATACTATTGCACTGGAGGTGTTAAGAGATAAACTGAGGCATAATAAACTTTTAAGAGTTTATTTCAGCAAAAATTGGTTAGAATCAGGCAGTGCCAAACCAGAAGTAGTGAGGAATGCTGCACCTACAGCGGCTAGAGGAAAGACTTTTGTAGAAAAGATGTGGAAGCAAAGCAAGGACACTATTTGGCAAAAGCTTAAGTGGTTGCTTTATTTGGGAAAGCCTGGCTGTTTGTGATTGGTCCTTAGGTTTTGATTTCTCAACCTTGAGGCATTTACAGGCTTGGTCTGTGTAGGCTGCTAAGGCATTAGAGCCACTTCAGTCTAATGGCCTCCTCATTTAATTAATTTAGCAGAAGTTAGGGCTTCGACGTATGAATTTGAGGGGGACACAATGTAATCCATAGCATCTACCGAGACTTTATGTAGCCACACATTTTCTATTTTAACCCTCATGACGACTCTGTGAGGTGGTGCCTTATATCATACCCCATTGTCCAGGTTTGAAGATAGTCCGTTTACAGATGTTAACATGCCCATGCCCGAGATGACACAGTTAATAAGTGGCACAGTCTGCATTTAAACCCGTGTGTGTGTTATACCAAAGAATGTGGGAATTTCTTTGAAACTCCCAACAGAGCAGAAGCCTCTCAACCTTCTTACCCTGCAGAGAGACACTCTGTTTCCCTTGATTGCTCGCTGCTAGGTGCTTGAACCAGAATCCAGAGGGTGGTGGCGGCAGCAGCAGTGTTGGTGTGGGTGGAGGCTGGGGAAAGCTTCTGTGTTTGTGCACGTGCTCGTGCCTGAGAAAGGGAAGTGATTCTTTTGAGTCTGATTCTTGGCCGAGTCAGTATTTGGGGGTGGGGGGTGTGGTGAGCACATCACGATGAATACCCTGCAGATTGCTATGGCCTGTGGTAGGGGAACAATGACTGGATTATACTTTTCAGCTTGCCTCTGCAATTTTATTATTAATGTCAGTAAATTGAGTTTCTACTGTCTGCATCTGAGTATCTGGCCATCACAAGCCCCTTCCCTGCTTCTTCGCCCTGTGACAGCTTCACGATCACTTCGGCTTAGCGGAGCCGCACCGTCTTTGGGAAGCCTCCCCTGAGTCCCTGGGATATTTAGCCACCCTCTGTATTTTCTTAATAGCCAGTTCACGCCTGTGGTTCTGCATTTACCACGTTGTGTCTTGATAATTACTGCACGTATCTATGTTCCATGGTAAATAGAGTTCTTGGAGGCCAGAGAATGGGCTACTGTGTCCCCAGTATCAGCACTGTGCTTGGAACTGAGTGGCAATTACACAGATTCTGATTTAATTGGTCTTGAGTGTGGCCTGGACATTGAGATTTTTAAAAGCTCCCCAGGTGACCCTAACATGCGGCTAAAGTTGAGAAGCACTGACTTAGGTTCTCAGTACACCATTGTAAGCTTCAGAGACTTACAGTTGATTTGTGGAGACTTAAACAAATGAGCCAATCAAATAACAATAAAGATAAAACAAGGTAAATAACATTGCAACATTCCAGTGTTAAAATGCTCTCTTCTGAAACAAGTGCTCTCAAAATGGAGAAACAGGCAAATGGCAATAAGTTTGGAGACCTGTCGCCTTCTATCCCCACATTGTCCAGTTGGTTCTTTGCTGTGTCTGTCCTGGCTTCTGGCATTTACTCTCTTGGTTTGTGATGGACATGCATGTGGTTTAGAAAAATAATTCTTTGTTGCAATGAGATTCTTGAAATAATTAGTTGAGCGACGAGTGAGCAGTGAATGACTTAAAAGGAAAGATCGTAAAGTATTGGACTGCCTTAGAAAAGACCCATAGAATCTGAGAGCTGGAACAATCCAGCCTACTCATTTTGCAGATGAGGAAATTAGAGCCCAGAGAGGTTAAATGTTTTGCCCACGGTCACACAGTTGGCAGCCAATCAAGAAATCTTTCACTCATTCATTTAGTCATTCAAAAGTATTTGAGTGCTCCTTTGTTTCACTCTCTTCTGTTTTTTGGGGAGAGTGGTGGGTAAGTGAGCATTTACAAGATAGGGGGGCGTGTGTGTACAGTGGTGAACCAGAAAACTTCAGCTGGAGTTTCGTCTTCTTTCTTATGAAGAAAACACTTGGTGGGGTGGCGGGAAGTTTTAGATTATGTTGGTGGTTAGGGAAGGCCTCCCTAAAGAGGTAACCTTTAAGCGAAAACCTGAATTACAATGAGTAATGGGTGGCCCATGGAGGATCTGGGGACAGAGCATCTGAGGGAACGGCCAAATGCAAAGGCCCGGGAGTGAGATAGGTTTGGTACATTTGAGGTGCATTGGGGTGATGGTGTGGTTGGAGTGCAGACCTGATGGGGCGAGTGCTGTGAGATGAAGCTGGGAGGCAGCCACTGATCGGAGACAGATGTCCTGATCCCAGTCCAGTACTGCTGGGCTCCACAAAATCAGGCTGGGAAGGTTTTCATACCTCCAGATGTCCAAAGGTGTTTCGTTTTTGTTTTTAACCTAGACTTTGTGTTGATCTACTTTAAATGTATCTACTTAAATATAACTTGAGTGAATGAGCATTTACAGGAAGGTGTCACCCGAAGCTTGAAATTAGACCCAACTCTGTTACCAGTTTCCGTCTGCCTTCAGGTGGTTTCTTACGTATTTAGAGGTCCTCATTTTTATTTTTAAAGAATCAATCTTAATCATGCCTAGGAAGAATGTCATGTTTTGAGCTGATGACTAGATTTTGACTTGACTTTCTGTTAGTTCAAGTGTTGTGAACAGTTGCCACATGCACAGTGTTGCTTACTCAAATTTTCTTCCTCTTTTTTTTGTGTGAGGAAGATCGGCCTGAGTTAACATCTGTTGCCAGTCTTCCTCACTTTGCTTGAGGAAGACTGTTGCTGAGCTCACATCTGTGCCAGTCTTCCCCTACTTTATGTGGATGCCACCACAGCATGGCTTGACGAGAGGGGCTAGTTCTGTGCCCAGGATCCGAACCTTCAAACCCTGGGCAGCGGAAGCAGAGTGCGTGAACTTTACTACTACACCATCGGGCTGGCCCTGATGGCTTACTCAAATTTTATCCTGAGACACGGGGAGGCATTTTGCATCAGAACTGCTGTAATTCTTTACTGATACTGCTTTTCTGTCTCCCCCACCCCCATTTTTCCTCACCAGATTGAGAATGCCAGTGAGGTGCTCATCACCCCCTTGGAGAAGTTTCGAAAGGAGCAGATTGGGGCTGCCAAGGTGAGAATTTTGCAAGCCTTGATCTTGGATTTTAGGGCAGGAAGTCTGGAAAACACGACACTTTCTTCAGAAAATCTTCAGAAAAATCTAAGCCTACTGTCTTCAGAAAATCTTGGGTAGATAAACCTGTTCTGTTCTTCATAAGTGTCTGAAGTAAGACTGAGTGGTCAGCCCCAGAGCAGTCATTCTAGTATTTTTTCTAATTGTTTTATGCTAGTTCATAAATCATCCAAAGGTGGAAACCGTGCTTCCTCTGTATTAGTAGACACCTGTGTGCTTGGACAATGTGGAATTGTATTCATTGTGGAGGTCCAGGGCTCAGAGCCTAGAATAGGGGTTGCAAGTTGGGCCTTTTGGGCATGGGGACCCTGTTCTTTGCCTATTTTTGCTGTGTGTGAAAATGAGCCTTCTGTTGCTAGATCTTTAAATTTTTCAAGAGAAGGTGTAGAGTCAGAGTTTTATATGATATTTCTTGGTTTATAAGGGGCTGGCCTGGTGGTGCAGCGGTTAAGTGCGCACGTTCCGCTTCTTGGCGGCCCAGGGTTTGCTGGTTCAGGTCCCGGGTGCGGACATGGCACCGCTTGTCAAGCCCTGCTGTGGCAGGCGTCCCACATATAAAGTAGAGGAAGATGGGCATGGATGTTAGCTCAGGGCCAGTCTTCCTCAGCAAAAAGAGGAGGATTGGCAGTAGTTAGCTCAGGGCTAATCTTCTTCTTCAAAAAAAAATGTTGGCAAATAATTTAAAAATAGATATTACACATTGTATGGGTCAAAAAAGTGGGACTGCTTCAACCCAGAGGTCACCATTTGTTATCACTGATCTGGAGAGACCTTAGGTGAAACTTAGCTGATTCTAAAGTATTACTGAAAGACCAAAAAGGGAATCATGTTCATTTTCTGAAGGTGGAGTCTCCGGGGTTCCCCTGCCTGTGGTAAATCACTGGGAAACCCTAGAGAGTTTGACCTTCAGTACAGCGTTAGACGCTTCCTGCAGGGAAGATGTTTTCCTTGGAATCTTAAAAGGATTTTCAAGATTTTCTTCCTGTTTTTCCAGAAGTCATTCAGCTGCAGTCCCTTGCGCCCCCTGCAGGGGGTTTTGAGTAACATCACCCTCTTCCTTGCTGAGATGGTGTGGACTTGGCTTAGTTGTGAAATGGTTTTGAGAGGTACCTGTAGGTGGGGAAAAAAATAGTGGAAATGTAATGAAATGGAGTCCCCCGCCCCCCCCCAACTAAGTGCATGTGCTTTCTGAAAACGAGTATGGCTAAGGCCTGGAAGAGATGATGCTCGTTTCAGTCAGGGTTATTCCGAGGGATGGTTGGCTGTAGTTTGAAGGAGGGATCATGGCAAAGATTCTTCTTCCACTTCTACAGCACTCTTCTACCAGTTTTAGTTTATATTTACAAAGAACTTGGAGCTCATTGGTTTTGTATCAGAGATTAAGGAACGTTTAACTTAAAAGAAGTCTTGTTCCATTCAGATTCTGTCCAAGATTGTGCGCAAACCCAGTGATGGGTGAGAAAACGCTGTGTGTGGGGCCCCTCCCCACCCAAGTTCTCATCATTGCAGGTCCAACGAGCAACTTCTCTCCAGTGGCCATGGAGCCGGTGCCTCCCGCTCCTGAAAACACATGGCAGCGGCTCTGGAGGCTCTGAAGAGCTTTGAGGCAGAGGCAGAGCTGACCTGTTTATTGAGTCATCTTTCCAATAGTCACTTCTCCCTCTGAGCACAGATGCCTCCCACTCTGGTCCCTTCCCTCAGTGCTGGTTTGGGGGTTACCACAGTTACCGTGAAGGAGGAGTAGAAGTCTGAGTGGGCTCCCTTTGGTCAATGCCAGTGATGGTAATGACAGGAGCAGGTACTTTTCTGGGTGGGGAGAGCGGGTTATAGATGGTGAGAAATAGAAGAATAAAAAAATTTAAGTAAAATAGTCACTCACCAAAACATGTTTCATCTCACACGCACTCTATTCTCTCCCTCCTGTTGAAGAATGATGTGATGACATTGGGAATGCTTTCTCATCCCTCCCCTTTTGTCATTTCTTTCTTTCAGTATACCTGTTCCTCTCCCCCCACCCCCCACACCCATACATTTGTATCATAGTATTATGTACATTTGAGAGAAAACAAAGAAACAACAAACCCTCTACCAGGCAATTTAGGGAGCAGACTCCAGAATATCTAAGAGCCAGCAAGTGCTCTTCAAGGGCCAAGTGGAAGTTTCTGAACTCTGTCTGTGTGATGCTAAAATTACCCTTCCTTCTCTTCCACCCTCTGGTGCTGCTTCGGTTGCTATAACAACCTGTTGCTACTTGCAAGAAGCAGAAGTTAGAGTGTTGGGTGTGAAGCCTGCCGGGGGGAGGACTCCTGGGCATTCTTGTGCTACTGTGGCTGCTCAGGAGTAGGGCACAACCCTGGAGCTTGGCGTAACCATGGTCCTACGTTTAGATTTCTGAGTTTGGGGGAGTTTATTTTTCCTGCAGCCGGAGTTGGCTCTACAGTTAAAGTAGCATAGATGTTAGAGAGCAGTGGTTGAGAGGGGCCCTAGAACTGGACTGCCTGAGAGCAAATCCCACTTCTGCCACTTGCATGTCAACTTACAGAGGTCACCGAACCTCTCTGTACCAGTTTTCTGAGCTATAAAATGGGGATAACGATAGTGCTTACCTCAGAGTTATTTTGAGGAAGAAATGAATGAACTCACATAAAGCGCTTGAAACAGTGTCTGTCATATAGTCAGTTGATGTTAGCTATTACATTCAATAAACACAGTTCATTCATTTAAAAAATATGCGAGAGCCTGTTCTATGCCTGGCTCTTGCTACACACTGACGTGTGGTGGAGACCAAGTGCAGACGGTTGCTGTGTTCGTGGTGTGGCTGGGGGGAAAGACATTAGAAAAAAGAAAGAAACATATAATGTCAAATTGTGATAGGTGCTATGAAGGGTTACTGACTTGGGACATGAAAAGCAAGAGATGTTTTTAATAAGAAGGAGGTAGGTTTAGATGATGGACCTCATTATCACCATTACCACCATCATACCACCACCACCATCATCACGGAGTTTTATTGAGCAATTTCCATGTGCCAGGCTCTCTGCTAAGCACTGTATACAGTTTATCTCATTTAGTCCTGACAATCCTATCAGGAGGTGGGTGTTATCCTTATCTCGTTAGACAATCTCTGAGCCGCAAGAGCAAACCTGAGTAGTTATCTGGGCATCCTGAGTTTATAGATGAGGGAGCCAAGGCCTGGGCAGGGGCAAGGATTTGTTTAGAGTCAGTCCATGTAGAGTTAGGAATAATTTCTAGGATCCTGTTTAGCCACCCGCAGTGGACTCCCTGGAAGATGACGCCATCTTGTAACTGAGTAAGACCACCCTCCCATCTTAAGAACACTATCCAAACCTTAGTAGAGTTATTCCGCTGAGGTCTTATTGCTGAAGACGGCTTCCCGTTCTCTCTAGATTTGGCTCTCCTCTTCAACGTGGAATGTGGAGGCTTGAGTTGCCAGAAAGTCACAAAATGCCAGTGACTCATGTTCCCTGGCCTTTTCTCATTTCTGCCCAGCTGGAAGATACCGGCACAGGGTTCTCATTTTTGGGGTTGCTGACAAGGCTGGGGGAGTGGCTGTGCCAGCATTACTTGGAGTTAGAACCCCAGCTCAAAGTCGCCGATTTCTGTGAAGGAAGAGGTGCTTGAGTCAAGAGTCTTGCCTGTACCTCTCCTCAGGTTTGAAGGAGTAATGTCTCCTCAGGCTTTTTCTTCATATGTTTTCACATGTTTAATTATTCTTGTATGTAAGGACACTGGGCCCTCCATATCTGTGGGTTTCTGCATCCAAGGGTTCAACCAGTCATGGATGGAAAGGCCTATGATGGTTCTGTCTGTAGTGAACACATACAGACTTTTTCTTCTTGCCATTATTCCCTAAATAATACAGTGTAACAACTGTTTACATAGCATTTACATTGCATTAGGTATTATAAGTAATCTAGAGATTATTTAAAGTATAAGGGGGGGTGTGGGTAGGTTGTATACACATACTATGCCATCTTATACAAGGGACTTGAGCATCTGTGGATTTTGGTATCTACGAGGGTCCTGGAACCAGTCCTCTGTGGATACTGAGGGATGACTGTAGTCTTTCAAACAAAATTTAGATTTTTAGAAATGGATACCTGTCAGCTAAAGTGGGTATATGATGATTCTACCCGCTTCGTAAGGCTTAGAGTCTTGCTGTTGACCAGATAAATGCTGTTCTGACGTGGTAGGAGCCTGTCTGTCAGAGCTTCAGGCGAGGGCTCCTTGGTGATTCCTCTGCTGCTTAGGCTCAGGGCTCTGCTGAGAGCATTTGCGCTTACTGCTCTCCTGTTCTAGAAGGCTCCCCTCTGCCATCTCCTGTGATGAGCAGGTCTTAGCTCACCACTCCCTGCCCCAGTGCGGCCTTTCCTGAGCTCCTCTGCAGAACCTCTGTGACCGCACCTGTTTGTGTCCTTCATAGCACTTCAGGCAGTCTGTAATTATGATGCTTATTTGTTTGCTGGTTAAATGTATTTCTCCTTATACTGGAACATCCCCATCAGGAGCGTAGGGACCACTTCTGCCTGTATTTCCGGTGCTTAAAGGAGCCTAACACAGAAGGTTGCTCGTTATCCCTTTGTTAAATGAGTAGAGATGTCTCTGAACCTCCTTATTCGGCTGCCAAGTTTTCTCTCCTCTTATAGGACTTGGAGTTGTAGAAAAATATTCCCTGTGGGCTCCACATGAGTCAAAGCAGGACTGATGCCCTCGGTTAGTAAATTGGATCCTGTGTACCAGGCCAGTGTCAACCTTCTTCCTGCGCCCTTGCCTGCTGTCCCCATTGGAATGTGAAAGGAAGGGAGACTGCCTGTGACACTGTGTCCCAGGTGTGGATGAGAACACGGGCTTTGGAGGCAGCTTGTCCTGGGCTCCAATCCCAGCTCTATCACCATGACTTTTTACAAGTCAACCTCCCTGGATCTAAGTTTTCTTATCTATAAAATGGGGAATAAAAATAGAACCTCAGTGACTGACTTGGTAGGGGAGCAGGGATTGTTATGTATATTATGATATTTGTATTATTTATATCACTTTAAAAGCAATAATAAATGATAAAAATTTCCCAAATGGAGGAAGAAAGTCACCCATTATCTCATTTCCTTAACTCAAATATTTTCATTGGCGTATTTTCCTGTCTAATCTTTGTCCAAAAGTAGACAACTCTACATAGGATGTACCAAGTTCATATCACACTATTATTACTTTTCATTATATCATGAACATTTTTCCATATGACTGCCTAGCCTTCCTAGTTATATTTTTTGGATGTCCCCATACTTTAATTAACCCAAACCCTATCCTTGGTAATGATGCTGCTGCTGCTGGGGCTTTTTTTTTTTGCTATTATAAATGATGATGCAGTGAACACATTTGTGAATATAATGTCTTCTTTGTTTTGAATTATTCCTTAGTTTAAAGACCCATATGTGGGGCCAGCCATGTGGCCTACTGGTTAGGTTCAGTGCACTCTGCTTCAGCAGCCTGGGTTTGGTTCCCAGGCGCAGACCTACACCACTCATCAGCAGCCATGCTGTGGTGGTGACACACATACCAAATAGAGGAAGACTGGCACAGATGTTAGCTCAGGGTGAATTTTTATCAGCAAACCCCCCCAAAAAACCACATATGTGATACTATTGCATCAAGAGATATTTAAGTCTATATATTAAGAGGTATTTTCTGAACACTGTTAAAGCTGGATCTCCCTTAGTCTAGACTTGTCCCATTTAAGCTGTAAGTAGATCTTCCTGCTTTGAGATTAGCTTCATAGGTAACTTCCCTCATTCATTTGGCTTTGAATGTCCTTGTAAGTTAGAAACAAGAAATTTCTGTTTTACAGGGCCAGCCCAGTGGCACAGTAGTAAAGTTCGCACACTCTGCTTTGGAAGCCCTGGGTTCTCCGGTTCAGATCCCGGGTGCAGACCTACGCACCACTTATCAAACCATGCTGTGGCAGGCATCCCACATATAAAATAGAGGAAGATGGGCACAGATGTTAGCTCAGGACCAATATTCCTTAGCAAAAAGAGAAGGATTGGCAACTGATGTTAGGTCAGGGCTAATCTTCCTCAAAAAAAAAAAAAAAAAAGAGAAAGAAATTTCTGATTTACAATTGAAGTTCTTAGAAGGTGGTTTCCTGGCTTTGCCACTATTGAATACTGGTATTTACCGCATTTCTAGCATTGTAGTGGTGCCTGTGAGAGACAGACACTCAAAAGCATCGGACTGTTGATGGGTGGGTGGTTGGTCTAATGGAGCTGAGTTGTCTGCTGCTGTTCTGTGGTCTGAGGGAATGATGAAGCCATGAAGATGAGCAGAAAGATCTTGACAAGGTTGCTTTTGTTCCTGTAACATTTTACTCCTTTTCTCCCCTCCTTTCCTTTTTTTGCCAGGAAGCCAAAAAGAAGTATGACAAGGAGACAGAGAAGTATTGTGGCATCTTAGAAAAACACTTGAATTTGTCTTCCAAAAAGAAAGAATCTCAGCTTCAGGAGGTAAGAACCTTCACCAGTATCCTGAATACAGTGTTTCATTTTTACATGGTGCTGTGGATATGTGCTGGTTGCTATTTGCCAGAAAATCCTAGGTTGGGAGAGACCTCAGAAACCAGGAGCTTGCTCCTGATCCCTCGTCTGATGTCTGATGCCCAGATTACCTTTAAATCTTCCCACCCACACCACTTCCTCGTGGCTGCCCAGCTTGTCCACGGCAGAGGAACGTACTACTACTCAAGATCACTCGCCTCCTTCTTAGGCATCCATAATTACCAGAATGTGCCTCCGCCTCTCAAACTGAGACCTGTTTTCCTGTTTCTCTCACCCTTGAGCTTGATTCTGTACTCTGTTACCTTACCTTTCTGACTTCCTGCCTTATGTCAGTAATTTGAAATGTTGACATCTGAAACACTGGGGTCATCCTTTCTTAATGTTAATTTTTTTTTTTTAAATTTCAACCAGTACTTGACATTAGTTTTGTGGGTTTTTTAAAATCAGTATTTTATTGTCATTCATATGGTTTGTGTTTTGGTAACCTTGTTTTAAAAAGTTAAATTCTCTGATCTGCCCTTGGTCTTTTTGGATTTGCATGGGGCCTTTTTAAGAGTGCTTCACTTGGAAAGAAAAAAAAAATCAGCTTTGCAGCCATGAAACTGTGACCATTTTTATTTAGTTCATAGAGGTTTGCACGGTGAGGGAGTTTATGTTTCTGGGAGACAAGGCAGTTTCCTAGTGGAACTGCTAATTTGGCTGCACGAGTGTCATCTTATTTAACTCTTACAAGTTGCCTGACCTTTTTCAGGTATGTCCTAAAGAGAGGCTACGGCTTCTAAGCTATCCCTCATTCTTAAATTTCCTTTCTTTTTGAGCAAATACTATGCCAGTACTTCTGTCAGGTGACAGTTCATATGAAAATGGCAGGTCAAAGGTTGAAAGCTGAAGGTAGTAACTCAGGAGACAGCGGAGTCCAGTCCCTTCCAACCAGGGTTGGTTACATATCCTCAGTTAGAATGTGCTGTTCTCAGAACTCTTTGCTTTGAAATGAGTGTTTAAACCAATTATTTGAGTGATGAATGAAGACTCAACAAGAACTACAGCCACAGCGAGTGTTTATGATGAACTTTGCAGGTCAGCTCTTGGCCAACCAGCCAACAGCAACTGAGTATTTGCTGTGAGCTGTACAAAGTAGAAAATACTAACCTTTCCTTGCAGATCTTGTGGCTGAGTAGGGAAAAAGGCAAACACATGAGGAGGGAGGTGATTCTTAAAGTAGCATAGCTACTCAGGTAAATCTTGTCAAATGTGATTGTGACAGTTAGGAAGTGCTTATTTTCATTGGATAATGCATAAAAGGCTACTCCCAGTCCTACGTGGGGATATGGGCACTTGGACATACCCAAGGATGTAGATTGTCCATGATAAAAATGTAATTCCATTTAGGATCTGTCCTAATGCTCTCACTTTTTAGTTATCATTCTAGCATCATTTGGCATTTAGGGTTTGGAAACTATAAGGAAAGTCTTTTTGGCTGCAGCTCACAACAACCAGATCTGGCCAGCTCCACAGTTTCTGAGCAGTTAGATGACCATGCACTATTAGTGTAAGTCTTCGCAGGTGAGCAAGTGTGGGATTGTTGTAGCATCTACTGATATTGGGAGGCCCATGTACAGTTATCCTATAGGCATGGCATTCCCTAGAATGAGGGCACTTGTCCACGTGGTCTCTTCTCTCCAAGCCTGGGTATTGCTGACTTGGTCTGAGATGAGTCCAATATTTTCTTTTAGTGCCATGCCAATACCATCTCCCCCTGAGACAGCACAGTGTAGGGACCAGAACACTGGACTGGCAGCGATACCTTACTTCAAGGCCTGCTCTGCCATGTATTTGCTGTGTGATCTGGGACAAGTATTTAGTCTCTCTGAGCTTTAGTTCCTTTGTTCATAAAATACCTTCCTGCCTGCTTCCTGTATGAGAAGGCAAATCATAGCTGCTATACACATATAAAGTGATCTCCCTGTGACTGGCCTATTCCTCCCCATCCCCTGTTCCCAAATTGGATGGCATTCTTCCTGACTGCGTTAGTCTGTTCGGGCTGCTGTAACAGAACACCCAGAATAGACTGGGTGGTTTATAAACAACACGTTTACTTCTCACAGTTCTGGAGGTGGGGAAGTCCACGATCAAGGCGCTGGCAGGTGTGGTATCTGCTGAGGACCTGCTTCCTGGTTCAGAGAGGGCTGTCTTCTTAACTGTGTTCTCACAGGGCAGAGGGGTGAGGAAGCTCTTGTGGTCTCTTTTATGAGGACACTAATCCATTCACAAGAACTCCATCTTCCTGACCTAAGCACCTCCCAAAGGCCCACCTCCAAATGCCATAGCACTGGGCATGAGGTTTCAACATATGAATGGGGGAGGGGGACACAACAGTCAGTCTATAGCACTGACTTTGCTAGTGTATATCTTAGTGGACGTTTTTTCATCATGCTCTTTTGTTACAGTCCTTTGTGTTCTTGTCTTTTGCCCATTTGTTCTTTTTAAATACTTCGAGGACAAGAGTGGGCTGTAGGTCTTTCTTGCAAGTCCTGTTCTGTTCTCGAGCATTGCTTTTTAGTCATACTTGAACTCCGTTAAGTTGAATAAAAATTTCATGATAATCACAGCAGTAATGATAATACTTTTACAAACAACAATAATAGCAGCAAATATTTATTGGATGCGTATTTATGTACCAGATACTGCGTGGAGCACTTTATGTGGAATCTTCTCAAATCCTCACAACCACCCTGTGCGGCACAGGTGTATTCCCTCCGTTTTACATATGAGGAGACTGAGGCTCAGAGATGTTAAATGGCCTGCCTGTAGCTAGTCAGCGAGGGTTTGCACCCTGGCTCCTGACTCGGGAGCCCTTTCTTTTAACCCAGCATGCTCTTAGACTTCTCGCCTCTTGGGAGGGAGGGATGTTGCTCTGCCGCCTGCCGGCCATTATTCTTCAATGCCAATGTCCTGCAGATAGAATTGGAGAGAGGGAGAGACCTCCACGATCGTCTGGTTGAAGGAACTGCAGAGGTCAAGTGATTTGCTCAAGATTTTCTAGCTATTTAGTGATGATTTTCTTCACATTTATTTAAAAATCAACTTTTAAGAACATCATTAAACATCTGTCTAGTACCTGTTTAATGAAATCTCATTATGCAGAGTTGTTTCCTGATCGCAGGGCTCTGAACTGAATACTTAAAAATTCTAGCCCATCCCTAGGTCCCTGGTGGGTGAAATTACAGGGCAGCGATGTGGAATGATACTGCCATCTAGTGGATGATTTTTAAAAGCTCAATGTATTCTTCAGTGCCTCAGAAGCTGGCTTCCAAGGCAATGTTCATTCGTTCAACACATATTCATTGGCCACTTCTGTGAAAGTGTGTTCTGGCATTGGGTGTATTGTGGGGAGCGAAATGAATGATCTGCTTTCATGGAACTTACAGTCTAGGAGAATGTCTCTTTTCCAAGAAGACAGAATGGTTGGTGGGTCTCAGATAAGCTGGTAAATTTACAGTTTCTCAAGTAATAGGCAGGAGAACTCTTTTGAGTGGTTTGCTGGGTGGGGTGGAATTCCATTGCAGGGGGTGGTCTAAGGATGTGGTGAATTCTTTGGCCCAGAGAAGAGAGGCAGTGGCAGGAGAAACATACCATTCCACAGGGGATTTCTTCTAACGTTTCCTTTGGAAATGCATTGAATTATGCATTTCTTCTGAGTGTGGGTCATTGATGGCCACATAGAAATCAGTTCATTCATTCCTCAAACATCTGTTGAATGCTTACTGTGGTCTAGTGGAAAAATGAGACAAGGTCTTTGCTCTCACTGACTTTATATTCTAGTAGGCAATACCCAAGAACAGAAGGGAATAAATAAGAATTTCACATTGCGATAATAAAGTAAATTGGGAGACAAGATAGAGACTCTCTGGGGTAACCTATCTAAAATAATGTCGTCAATGAAGGCTTCTCTAAAGAGGTAACATTTGAATGAGACCAGAAGGATGAGAAGGAGCAAGCTAAGTGAAAAGCTAGGACAGTGTTCTTTAAATTGTGAGTGTGTCATAAAAATCTAAATTACTGGGTCATGAAATAGAGTAGGCTAGAACAGGATGAAAGATAGGAAAGTGTGTTGCACTTAATTATAAATGTATGTTGATTGGGTCATTATGCAAAAGGTTTTTCTGGGGGCTGGCCTGGTGGCACAGAGGTTAAGTTTGCATGTTCTGCTTTGGCGGCCTGGGGTTCTCCGGTTCAGATCTTGGGTGCAGACTTACACACTGCTTGTCAAGCCATGCTATGGCAGACATCCCACATATAAAGTAGAGGAAGATGGGCATGGATGTTAGCTCAGGGCTACTCTTCCTCAAAAAAAAGGTGGTTCTTACTGTGCATCGATATTAAAAAAATTGAATATTTATCTAGGGGAAGAAGTTTTCAGGCAAAAGGAACACCAAGTACAAAGGTTGAGTGGAAAGAGTTTGGAGTGTTAGAGGACAGGAAGGAAGCAGAGTGGCTGGAGCACAGTGAGGGTGGGACGGGTGGGCGGGTTGCAGAGGGTCTTGAGACCATCTTAGCAGGGGAAGGCGTTGAAGGGGCTGTGAGAACATCTGATTTAGAAGTTAAGAAAGGTATTCTGGCTGCTGGGTGGAGACTGGATTGGGAGGTGGAGAGGGGAGAGAATGAAAGCAGGGAGACCATTTAGCAAAGGGGTGTAGCTGCCCAGAGATGGTGTGGCTGGCTTGAGGTAGGAGCGGGGATTGAAGCCCATCTGCTCTGATGTTCCTGGTGATAACAACCACCACTGTGCACAGAACACTTCCTGGTTTTCAAATTGTTCACATCCTTTAGCTTGTTTTCTCTTTGAAACAGCCCCACTCAGAGCAAGGGCAGATATTATCAGCTCCATCCTCCAGGTGTGGGAGGACACCCGGAGAGGATAAGTGACTCGAACAGGTCCCACCAGCTAGGAAATGATAGAACTGCAGCTCCATCCCAGGTGTTGCTGTCCTAGCTCTCTGACTGGCCATGGGCTCTGCTGTTTTTCTCAGAGGACTTTCCTTCTGGCTCCTTCCTCCCTACCTAACAGCAGGAGGCCCTTTGCAGATTTTCAGAATGACCCTTTTTTCAGCTGCAGTCTCAGTTGGCAAGCTCAAGCAGGGAGGATGTATGAGGTGTGTGTGGGTGGTCAGGGGAAGTCGATACATCCCTCAGTGTAAGTGGGTTTGATTTGCACTACAAGGAAATTAAAGGCCACAGGAATATATCGGACTTAGCTGGCAGGAGCCCAGGTGGAAGGTGTGTCAGCCCCGTTGTCTAAACAGCCACTCCTGGGGGGTCAGCGGGTGGTGGCGGGGTGCAGCACTTTCTGAAACCATAGAGATCTGTCAGTGCTGAGATATCAACTTCCCCTGCTTGGAGGTTTAGAAAACGCCCCCGAGCTTAGGCCTTCATTTTGGTTTTGTTCAACAGTTAGTCAGCAGACTGCCTCTGTGTATTAATATGTAAGCTGCCCTAGGAGGAAGTGGTAGCGGGAGACTTGAATGAATGCTTTTGGGCTCTTTTATAGCACTCTGTGCTTTACCAGAGTCTGTAATTTCTGTTTATTTACATGATTATTTGGTGAACATCTCTTTCCTTCACTATGCTGTGAGCTCCATGAGGGAAGTTTCTTTTTGCTCAGGATGGGTGAATGAATGGATGGTTTGCCAAGTCCTTCAGATGTCAGGGTTACAATACCGTATTTGGTATAATGAAAGTATGGTTCTTTTGCAAGTTTCTTCTGTAGGAATCTTGACAAAGGAAGAAATGTTCCTTTGGGGGCTTTGTTTGTGTTAGTAAAGTATGTTATAGAATGGTTTCTGACTCCCTCATTTCTAAAGAAAACAATGTTTTGTTTCCTACTAGCAGGATATTAATTTTTATTTTTTAAAAAATTCACCTTTGGGGGCCGGTCCGGTGGTGCAGCGGTTAAGTGCGCATGTTCCACTTTGGTGGCCCGGGATTCTCCAGTTCGGATCCTGGGTGCGCACATGGCACCACTTGGCAAGCCGTGCTGTGGTGGGTGTCCCACATATAAAGTAGAGGAAGATGGGCACGGATGTTAGCTCAGGGCCAGCCTTCCTTAGCAGAAAGAGGAGGATTGGCAGCAGTTAGCTCAGGGCTAATCTTCCTCAAAATAAATAAATAAATAAATAAAAATTTACCTTTATTTCTTTTTTTATCCTTGAAATGTGCTTTCAGTATAATTATCTGCTTTGAAAGAATGAGTTGATGTAGCTGCTCTGTGGACAGAGTAAGAACTTAATGGTGATAGTTGAGGTACTTCCCAGCATAGCATCTTGTTACTCCATACATACTCATTTTCTCCCTTGGGGTCTAGATCCCAGCTCAATGGCTTTGTTGTATTCAGGTGTGGGCTTTCCCAGGCCACACACCTGCACAGAGGGAGAAATATAATTACTCTGCTTGGAGTAAAGTGACTGTTCATCCTTGTCACAAACAAAGTATGTGGGACTTGTGTCCTTTTCTGAGGTCCCCTGCCTTCTAGCGGTTTGTTTTGCTTGTTAGGAAGGCGGGACCGGGATAGCCCTGCAGGTTGTCTTTTTCTCTTTAAAAATCTGTCTTCCGTGGAACCCAGGTCTGCTCCAGGGTTGGGGGTGGCGTTACGGCCTAGAGGTTTAAGGACGATCAGGGGTTTTGGAAGCAGATTGAGCAGGAGAGAAACCCCAGCTCTGCCCTGCACCAGCTGTGTCAGGTTGCTTAATGTTAGCAGACTTCATTCCTCCTGTAAATTAGATAATATCTTCTTTTTAGGAACTTAATGAGGGTTAAATAACTAAAATTAATGAGGTTTGAAATAAGGTAACAGGTACAGCTATGGGCGTGGTGCCTGGCACAGTCAGTGCTCTGCTAACCATTATCATTATTCTTATCTCTGTTTCATGTTATTCGATTTATTTTTTAAGACCATCTCCAGAGATATTTCTGACCTGCTTGCTGAATGCTCTCTTTGGGAGTGACTTGATTTTTCTCTTAAATTCCGTCTTGTTTGTAGGCAGACAGCCAAGTGGACCTGGTTCGGCAGCATTTCTATGAAGTATCCCTGGAGTATGTCTTCAAGGTGCAGGAAGTCCAAGAGAGGAAGATGTTTGAGTTTGTGGAACCTGTAAGTAGATTAATGATGTACCCATACTTCATCCCCACCCCTCGTTCCAACTACCTGGATTACAAAATGCTCCAAGTTACTGATGAAGAGGTTGACCAGCCCTGATACTGTGCCTTCTTGCTAAGTAACAGTGCTTTGTCAATCTTGCTGTCCTGGATTCTTCCCAGTAGCCAGTCCTGTACAACCACAGAGAGGGAGATAGCACTGTCAGCAGTAGTTGCTTCCTCTAGCCACTCTGTGTTGTCCTATTTGGTTTCCAGGTAGAAGTAGTGGAAGGAGGGGAGAGGAGGAGTTTTCATCAATCAACAGTGATCACAATAGTGATTACACTTTAACTCCCCAGCCCCACCCTGCAAATAATCCAGATGTAGTAATAACCTAAGGAAATAGGGAAATAGACTTGATAACTTTTCCCTTTTTGCTGTCGGAATTCAAAGCCCCTCCTTACCCATTCATGTGTTAAAAGATTCTATATAAAGCGATTTCTCACTGTAGCTTTGTTCTAACCAAGCAGCGTGGAGATTCTGCCGAGTGCACCATGGTGGGGTTTGGACTTGGGCAGAGTGTCCCAGTGGACGTGAAAGGTTTAGTGTGGGAACAAGTCTGGCTGTGGTTTCGGCCACCCCAGCGTGTTGTGGTTTCGTGCAGACGTGGTGCTGCTCCACCTGCTGTGGCGCTGGTGTTCAGAATCCACAGCAGGAAGACTTCACAGGAACACTGAAGAGCATATTGGCTTCAACTTAAAACTATTACAGACCTTTTTCAGCCAAAATGCAGCCTCTGATTTAGACCCAAGCCTGGGGTCTCTATACAAATAAGATTCTTAACTACCTAGATTTAAGAAAGCATGGCTTTTTAAAGCAAATAAGAATAAAACTATAAGAAACTGAAAGAAAATGATCACTCTTTTTAGTAAAGAGCGTTCTGTGCCCCATTGCTAATTTATAAACTTTTGGGATGCTTTTTAAGGCATGTAGATTAGCTAGTAGTTTCATCAAGCCTCGAGGTGGCTGTGGAGTCTGATGCCTATGACTTTTACTATATTGGAACTATGATCTCGGGATTCTCTCCCAACTACCTCATCTGGCAAATTCTGTAAAGTCTTTAGTTAATTCATTCTTCTTATCTGAATGTTGAAAACTATAGAGCCAGCTTCCTATGTAGCAGTGGACTCTGCCGTGGTCTCAGGTCAAAATCCCTGTCTGTCTGCAGGGCCTGTGAGGCACAGAGCTCTTTGAGAGCCGGCGTTTCAGTCAAAGGGTTACTGAAGATTCATCTCCTGTGGTCAGGGCAGGAATTGAAACGCTGCCACATAGAATTAGCCTTTGGCATTTTTATCTGCTTTTACTAGAATTTCTAGAGGGGAAAAAGCAGTGTGATTCTAATAATCTTTATGTGCACATTGATTGATATTATTCTACAGTTGCCTGATTTTGATCAGTTGCATCCTGCATTTTTAGGTGAGATTTTTAGTTGTCTATTTTCATCTCTCAGTATGTGTTCCTAGTGAGTGCCAGGTATTGTATCTGTTAGCTTTTGCTACGTAACTAACCACAAAACCCCATACAACAATAGACATTTATTTCTCACATATCTGCGGGGTTCAGCCAATCTGGCTAAGCTCAGCTGGATCACTGCTGATCTGGGTGGGCTCTCTTCCTCCTCCTCCTTTTCTTCCTTTTTTTATTTTTTAAGGAAATCTACAAGGATTTATCTTTCTATTTCCTGGCATTCTGTTGTAGTATACAGTGTCTTGAGTGTTTTGGGAGGCAGTATAGCATCACTGTTAAGGACTCTAGAGCTAGACTGCCTAGATTTAAATCCCAGTTCAGCCGTTGTGCATTCTTGGGAAAGTTAATTGATTTCTCTGAGTCTCAGTTTCCTCATCTGCAAAGTGGGTATAATAATACCACCTACCTTATAAAGATGTTATGAGAATTAGCTGAGTTTATCTGTATAAGATGCTTAGAACAGAGCTAACCTACTTAGCATTCAATTATTATATAATTGCTAACTAGTGCCGAGTTAACAATTATTGTTTATTCTGAAGTAGAGGAATAATATGTCAGCTTTGACTACCCAGGGTCTCCTCAAATGAGCAAATGAGTCAAGTGCCAATATTAACAGGGCCTACCTGTTTTAATATAAAAAGTCTTAGTAAATCTAAAAGCATTTATCTACTGAATACCTCAGAAAATGCTGAAGACCCAGCTGCTGTGTGTGAGTTTCTCACAACCTCACTGGGGAAGCAGTAATCTGTATTTTAGTAAGCTCTCCAGGTGATTCTGCCACACATTAAAGTTTAATGTTAAAGTTAAAGAGCCAGTGGCTTAGATTGTTCGAAAGAAGCACATGAAATAGCAATTGATAATCTTAACAGAAACTGTGTCACGTACTGTGCTAATACCTGCTTTACCTACATTATGTCATTCAGTCTTGTAACATCTCTGGGAGTAGATATGTCTTTAGCTCTGTTTTTTTTTTGCTGGATTAATATTACCCAGATATTAATCTATTGCCAATCTTCCTCTTTCTCTTTTCACCTCCACAGCCCCAGTACATAGTTGTATATTCTAGTTGTAAGTCCTTCTAGTTCTTCTGTGTGAACTGCCACCAGAGCATGGCAACTGATAGATGACTGGTTTGGTTCCACACCTGGGAATCGAACATGGGCCACTGAAGTGGGGCGAGCTGAACTTTAACCAATAGGCCATCAGGGCTGGCCCCTATCTCTATTTTTAGATGAAGAAATGGAAGCGCATTTATTTACTTCTCCAAGGTCACATGTAGTAAATAGCAGAACTGGAATGGTCTGGCTCTTTATCCGTATGAAACAGCATTTGATTGCTTACAGGTGGAAAGGAAACCAGCAAGAAATCCATGGAATTAAATTGCTGGGGTACCTGGGATGGAGTATTCATATTTTGAGTTGGCTGCAGTCGAGGGAATCTTCCAGCCATTCAGGGAACTTCCGTGCACATTGACTATGTTCATTTGTTTCTTAGAAAGTAACTTCAAGTACCGGGATGTTATTGACCTTCAGAAAAAGAAACAAAATTTTAGTGTTCCAAGGAAGAAAAATCAGACTACTGGGATCTAAGCCATGTGTTTTTTTGTGTGTGCCCTGGAAGCCTTTATTTTATTGTTGAAGTGCTAAATGTTCTGGCGATTTGGATTGCAGGTAATGACATACTGGCCTCACGAAGGCAAAGCACGTTCTGTTTGTTCTCTGAGTTTTCATAATTGAAGGTTACCCAGTGCTACGGAGAGCTCATTCTCCACATTCATCAGGTTCCGCATCCTCTGAGTTTCACTTCCTGGATGTTTCTTGCTGCTGTGCCTTCCTGTCCTTTCTCACTCCTTCTGCCCCTTTGCAGATCTTCCTTCTTTTCCCTCTGGTCTGTTATGTCCTGTCCTGGGCCTCCCGCTTCTCCAGTCTGGCCTGGACCCTGTCACCACAGTACATCTTCTCACGTATCAGTTTGATTATATCCCTCTTGCTGAGCAGCTCCTGCTGGCACTCCTGTGCTGATAAGCCCATTACATAGATGATCCCCATCTTTACCACAACCCAGTGGCATAGTGGGTAGCATTATTATCCTCCTGTAAATGATGAGTCAGAGGGAGTTTCATGGCTCAACCAGCCCGGCTTTTCGTCAGTCTACTTCTGTCCTTTTTGTGGTGTGCATGAATGATTCTTGGTAGCTACATTTGTTTCCTAGGGTTGCTGTAACAAAGGACGACAACCTAGGTGTCTTAGAACAACAGAAATTTATTGCCTCATACCTCCAGGGGCAAAAAGTCCAAGATCAAGGTGTCAGCAGGGCCATGCCCGCTCTGAAGCCTGTAGGCAAATGATCCTTCCTTTCTCCTCTGGCTTATGGTGGTTTGCTGGAAGTATTTGGCATTCTGCTTTATTGACGCGTCACTCCTGTCCCTTGTCTTCACATGGCTGTCTTCCGTCTGTGTGTTTCTCTGTGTCCAAATTTCCTCTTTTTACAAGGACACCAGTCATTTTAAAATAGGGCCTAATGTCTTCATTTTAACTTAATTACCTCCGTAAAGACTCTATTTCCAAAAATAAATCACATCCTGAGGTATTGGAGATGAAGACTTCAGCTCATCTTTTGGGCAGGGACACAAATTCAGCCCTTAGTAGTAGCTCTCTCCTGTGGATGAAAACAACCTAAATTTATCAGATAGTCCAGGATGATGTGGCCAACACTAAATGAAGCAGTTACCTTTTTGCTTATTTTTTTAAAAAATAAATTATATCTATGTTGTCAGCTATGAAATAGGGATAGATTTTTCTTACGGTTAGTCTCTGAGGACTACAAGGATGGAGAGAAGGCAAAGAGAGGTAGGGAAGGTCTCTCTTTGGTCTTTCCTTTGTCGTGCTTTGATTTTGTGTCCTGACTGTTTAGGGAGGAGCCTGGGTGGATGTGCTGACTTCTCTTATTTGATATCTGAGGTGAGGCTGCAGTGAGCTCTGTGTGTTGAGTGTTGAGTGGAAGCGTTTCTCTGAGGCAGACAGGTCCTTCCTTCTCTGGAGTCCTTCTGTGGGCCCCACCTAGCCCCTTAGTAGTGGACTTTCATTTCCGCCTGGGTAATAGGTTCAAAGGTTCATCCAGTTTGTGGGAAGGGGATGTTAAGGAGCTGGGGGAGGGGAGAAAAGATGCTACAAGGGGAGAAGGAAGGGGAGTGGGCCAAAGATAACAATATCTCAGGAATCATTTCCTGTAGAAAAAAGGACAATCAGCCATGCTACCAAAGGAAGTGAAACCAAAATAAATATTAGCAACTCTCTGCCTTTGGAGCACTTTGTGTGTGTGTGTGCCCAGGGGATGTCTTAGCTGTGTGAGAATATTTAATTACCCTGGGCAAGAGAGGCCCTGTTGACTTCTTAAAGTCAGCGTTAATAGGGAAATGACCCTAGAGTTAGCTGCTGCTCTTCATTATTCTCCAGTGGAGGATGGCTCAGTGCCTTGGAAAAGTGACAGTTCATAGCATTCAAGGACAGCAGGAAGGGAAGAGATAAGAGAGAAGAATTTTCATTGTGAATACTAGCACTAGATTTGGCATAAGAACCCCTTCTTCTTTATTGCTAGAGCCATCTAGAAGGAAAATTATGGACCTTCCTCTCAAGGTATTTTATATAGACTACGTCCAAAGCCTTTGGTCATCTTTGAAGAAAAGAGTTCATTATTAGTCTTTGGTGACTGTGTGGCTTACCACTCATTCATTGATTTGTTAGGGATCTGTATATGGTGCCACTAGATGTTTTTATAGCCAGAGGACCCAGAAATGCCTGCTCCCTGACCTCCCATGAAGATCTAAGGGGATAGATGCTCTGGGGCTAATGGCAGTGGGAAAGATACTGTAATGTTATAGGCTGGGTTTTGCTGTAGAGCTCTTTGGATGACCTGGGAGGGGCGTGTGGCTTTGTTGGAAGACAGGTCTCTCCTCTGACCTCAGACAAAGTAGCATATACCTTGGTGCTTGCCATTCCTGCCATGAGCAAAGTGTGAGAGGACAGGGGTGGGATGAGTTCCCTTAACCATCATTGTTAGGGCTGCCTCTCAGGAAAGGAGAGTTAGGTGAAAAAAAGTGAGATTATGTTTAACAAGCAAAGGCATGTTCATTTAGGGACTGGAAATTAAGAACAACAATGTAAGTTAAGCAACTGTGTCATGGTGTAATGTGTTAGAGGCGGGTCGGGGGGTGGTCAGCGTGGACCACTCAGAAAGGGGAGTCAGCACTGAGAGGTTCAAGTTAGAACGCAGACAGTCCCCGAATGCAATAGAGCTGAGCTTGTGATAGAGCGAGGTTCTGGTCCTTCTGAGCCTCATTCAGGCTTTTATTATAATCCTTTCTTCAGGTTGGGATTTGGAGCTGAGGAGAGATCTGTAGAACGAGGGAAGGGGCCAGGAAAGCATAACAACAGGGAGGTTTGCATGTAGCTCTGCAAGGAAAGACTGCAGGAGCATTTATTCAGCCTGGAGAAGTGAAAGCTGGCAGGGGCTGGGGCGGAACATCACTAGTTTGTAAGCATATGAAGGCGTGTTGTGTGCCTTGTGGTTAACAGATGTTTTCCCTCTTCACTGAAGAGAAGACTAAACAAGGAATGGGCTTATTACCTTTTAGCCTGAGGGGATTTAAATGAGCATTTAGGGAGACCATGGTAACTGAAAACGTGGGGACATGGGAATATTTTAATAAAGAAATCCATAGTGTTTACTTTGAGATAGTTTAGGGAAAGCACAGAAACACTTGAGCTCAAGTCTGCTCTGGATGAGTAACTTTGATTTGATTTTGCCGGTTAGACTGCAGACTCAGGACACACCTACTTCCTTGCCTCCCTTCTTGTTGGTTTTCAGTATAACCACCCCCTTCTGCATTATAACCTGATATTACAAATTTACTAGAAAGAGACTGAGTTGGAGCCCTGATCTTCAGTTTCTGATGAAATGATTTTCTTAGGAGGTGGTGAGGCTCACAGGGTAAAAGCTTGGGTGCTGGTGCCAAGGAGACCTGGTTTCAAAGCCTGGCTGCTACTTGCTGTGTGTTTTGGGGCAAGTTACTCAACCTCTCTGAATGTGCCTCCTCGTTATTAAAATGGAGATAACAGTCACAGTTACTTCATAGGTGGTTGTGTCTATTCAGTGAGACAGGGCATATAAAGTTACAGTGCCTGGCATGTAAGTAGTGCTCAGTAAAGATAGCCATTATTGTTACTTTGTTCTAGACTTTCAAACCAGGGTTGGGAACTCAGCTGCAGCTACATACTACCTCTGTAACATGCTTATGTGAACTCTGCCTTCTTCCTTCATTGCAGCTACTGGCATTCTTGCAAGGACTCTTCACTTTCTATCACCACGGTTATGAACTGGCCAAGGATTTTGGCGACTTCAAGACACAGCTGACCATTAGCATACAGAACGTGAGTGGGCAAAGGGGCAGGCTTCCTTTTCCTGGTTAAGGAAAGGAAAAAACAAAGTGTGGGTCTGGTTGCATAGAAATCACCTATCTGCACTGGAATGCAGATGAGGAGGATGGTCTTGCTTGAGTTCAAAGGGTACTGGGGGGGCCAGGCATTTCTAGGGTGCTTGGTGGTCCCAGGTTAGGGCATCGTCCTCTTATCCATTATTTCAAAGCACTATTTATGTTCTTGGAAGTGTTGCTGATGATTATGTTTAAATCTGTAGCCCGAGAGTCAGGATTTTCTTTGGCAGTAGAGGGCCCAGCCCAGCCCAGCCCAGCCCAGCCCAGCCCAGCCTCCCTTCTGTGCATGGAGCTGCCTGGCCACACGAGACTTTGGAGAGTGTGTTTAGGGGCTGGGGGATGGGAACACATGCTGGCCTCCGGCTCAAAGGATGTGCTCTTGTTCAACTCTTAGTAAGGCTGACAGGAAATCCAAGTCAGTGTGGTTTAGTCCCCATCTCCTTTCTCAAATTTTAGACGGCAGGACCGTTTGGTGCTCAGAATCCTGCTTATGGCTCTTTGATTTGCAGTTACTGGGGCTTTAGCCCCAATTTTTAGTGTGCGACAGGGTCGTGTGAGTCTGCATGTTGTCTTTGTCCCTAGACCGTCCTTTGTAGAGAATAAACCCAATTGCGTCCTTGTGGGTTGTATTTTGTGGCTTTTCGAAGCCTGGGGCTTGCCCCGACTTGATTCTCTGAGTGTCTTTGAGAACAGGAAGTTGCAGAGTCTCAGAGAAGGTTTCACAAAGCATGGCTTCCCTTAGGCCGGCTTCCTCAGAGGCCAGACTCTGCAGTGGAGATTTACACGTAGCAGGTTTACAGGAAGCAGTGTCAGCAAACACACCTGTGAGGCTGAGGGCAGCAGGCCCTGCAGGAGGAGATGTTGAGCTGTGATGCAGTTGCAACAGAGGCCTCAGTCAAATGCCGTGGGCACCCTGGAGCTGGGATGGTCCTTCAGAGTGGCCGAAGAGAAGCGAGGGGGCCAGGCTTTTGACCCCTTCTCCTTTTGCCCCTAGCCTCAACTAGTCATTGGGTGCAGGCTGCCCTGGAGTAACCAGGGCAAGTAGTAACCTTGAGTGAAGCAGCTCCCTTTTGAGGGGGTACTCATCTGTGAGCCATCAGCAAGCAACATTCCCTGTAGCTGGAGAAAGGAGTACCTCGGTCGTGAAGGGGAGCTGGGCGGGTACCCTCTCATGGACCATCTGAATCAGAATCACCTGGGATGCGTATTTAAAATGCATGTTTCTGGGTCCCGAGATACTAAATTAATCTTCAGGGATAAGACCGGGGCATTTGCATTTTCTCCAAGTTCCTCAGGTGATTTTGATGTCCCTACAGTTTGAGAGGCATTGTGGTATAGGGCTTTAAGGCCAAAGTATATTTTTTGAAAGTGAATATTTAACTAATTCCTAGATGGCTGAATGTTCCTGTTCTTGTTTTAGATCTAAGGATTCTATTGGTTGATGTTCTGAATTGTTACAAGATGGGAATAGCCTTTTGTTTCTTTGATCTAAATAAAATTCCTTTCATCCTAGACACGAAATCGCTTTGAAGGCACCAGGTCAGAAGTGGAATCACTGATGAAAAAGATGAAGGAGAATCCCCTCGAGCATAAGACCATCAGTCCCTACACCATGGAAGGGTACCTCTACGTTCAGGAGAAACGTGAGTGCCCCGACGACTACCAGCTTGGGGTGCACTCATGCCTTCTGCTCAGAAGGTGGGGGGTGTATCCAGTGTGCCTGGCCTAGAGGAGTGTTCTATAAATATAGGTTTGGATGAATGAGAGTTATTTTATAGTTCAGTTTCCTAGGGGAAGGCTGATGTCCACAGGTCTTGTCTACCTCCAAGTGATGTATTCTGTTTTCTTTGTAACTGGGACTTCCCTGAAACCTGGAATTCACTGAGGCTCTGGGGTGGTTCTTCTCTCCCTGGTGTCATTCTACTCTTGAGGTGCCTGTTCCCTTCATTTAGCTTTATATACCATAGCCTGGGCAGAGAGGCCTTGGCAAGGTCTGGCATGCTACACCTTATTGTCTATAAGCCATGATATCCTTTGATGGATTTAATATTTAGTGATTTTGTTTTCATTTGAGACTTGTTTCATCAAGACCCACACAATCATGACTTAGGCCTTCCCCTCTTCTCTTCAACTCCTGTCATTCCAACACTTAAATTTTATGAAAAGTGGAAACAAAAGCTTGCTCTGAGAGCTGGGAAGAAGATCCATTGCCCTGCCGATAGGATGTCAAGGGAAGAAATGCCAGGTGCTGACATTTCCATGATGACTCACCGACTCGAGCATTAGGCCTGGGGAAGCCTTTGTGACGGAGCCATGCTATGGGCCAGCACTTCCAGACTTAGTTCCTGTGTGCAGAGCGAGGGAGAAAGGAAAGTGAATTGTGAATTGTTCTTTAATGGATAGTTCTTCTAGTCTCCCACCCCTGCTGTCTTGGCTGGGCACCTTATTCTTCTCGGATTTTTGCTGGTTTTGTGCTCTTTCTTGTCCTTCTGTTGAATTAGGGTTAGGCAAATGTCTTTGCTCCTGGAAGCTTTCTGATGGAAAACAACTAGACCAGTTGGTTTCAGAGATTATTCTGTTTAATGATGACTCAGAAATTTGCTTGGGTTTAAAATTCTTCCCTGGTGACAGTGGGGGCAGTAGTGGGGTTGAGGGTTAGAGTGTCGGTTGTGATGAGGGTTTTATGTCTCTTATTTTTACAGGGATGAGCTTGGTGAGATTTGTAAGAAATGGAAGCTACTTTAGTTGTGTGTTTCATACACACCTAAATATAAGGTGATGCCTTCTTTGCCCAGTAAGAAGATTGACCCCGAAAAGTTGAAGGTCAACTTGAAAATATAAATTTTTAGGACTGCGAAAATATAGTTCAATGTTCATTTGTAATACTTAATTTATTCATATTGCTCACTTACGTATATAAAATCAGTATTGCTCTTTGCACTTTCCTGTTACATTATACAGTATTCAAATATGTCATATACTTTTTCAACATTAAAGTCTTGATTATCATCAGAGCCACATTTTGATTCTCTAACACAGCATGTCATTGACATACAGCCTTTTTTCTATTTGAAAGTTTATGTAATGTTATTTTGAAATAATTTCAAACTTACAGAAAGTTTCAAGAATAGTGTAAAGGACAATCATATGACCTTTACCCAGATTCACGAGTTTGTACCATTTTTCCACAATCGTATCATTCTTTCTCTCTGTAAGGGTGTGTGTGTGCACATCACAGTCACAGATACACACACCTTTTAATTTTCTGAACCCTTTGAGAGCAAGTTGTGTACACCATGCTCCTTTACTTCAGTGTATTTTCTAAAACTGAGGATGTTCTTTTATGTAACCACAGTACAGTTACCACATCCAGGACTCTAATGTTGATGAGATAGCTAATCTAAATGATAGTCCATATTCCATTTTGTCAGTTGTCCCAATAATGCTTCCATAAAGCATTTTGTTTTCTGCCAGTACAGAATCTCCTACTGCATTTTGTAATCATGACTTTAGTCTTCTTTAATCTGGAACAGTTCCTCAGCTTTACTTTGTCTTTCATGACGTTGACATTTTTGAAGGATATAGGCCAGTTCTTTTAGAGAATTTTCTTCAGTGTGGCTTTGTCTAGTGTTTCTTCATGAATAGATTCAGGTTATGCATCCCTGATCTAATCCTATGTAAGTAACTGTATTCTTCCTGGGTACCACATCTCGAGACCAAGGATGGCCATCTGCCCCCCCATGGTGATGTTAATTTTGATCAGCCAGTCAAGATGTTGTCTTGTTTTTCCACTGTACTGTCATTATTTTTCCTTATAACTAATTAGCAATCTGTGGGGAGACACCTTAAGACCATATCCTTCTCCTCATCAAATTTTGCCTCCCATAGAGTTAGCATCCATTGACAATCCTGGTCTGAACCATCTTTACTGTGATGGTTGCAAAATGGTGATTCTCAGCTCTGCCACTCCCTCCACATTTAGTAGTTGCCATTCAGTGTACTGTAAGGAAGTGACTTCCTTTCCTTCCTTCTACCTTCTGTCCTTCCTGCCTGCCTTCCTTCTTTCATCTCTCCATCCGTCCGTCCATCCATCCATCCATCCATCCATCCATCCATCTGTCTTTCTATTGTCAGTATGGACTTATGGATTCCTATTTTATTTATTAAGCTAAATCCGTTACTATCCTTATTTTGGTGCTAGAATTGTCTAAGATACAGTATTTTTCAAATCTTTGTGGTGTGCTATCACTGGAATTTTTTCTCGAAGCCATGAAAATACATTAGAATGGTTGATATTTTCATTTTTCCTTGATGCTTCAATGTAGACACTTACTGTATTGCTTTTTAAGTTTACTAAGTGACATCCAACACTTGCACTGGGCATTCATACCCTGAAAAATAGTTATTGAATGTCTGCTAAACCTCTTTTCACGTTGTTACTTTTTTTTTTTTTTAACCTTTTCTGCTGTGTGATCTCTGTAAGCGTCTATGACTAGTATTGATTGAGGTCCTTGCAGGCTAATAATGCCTTTTTCTTCTAATAGTACTTTGTCGTTCAAAATAATTGGCCAAGCACCAGGTGAAATCAGAGACTTTGTCAGAATATGACTGTAGGGCATCTCTCTCTTTCCCGAGGGACAATTTTGAGGGCAAACTCCTTAGATTACATTTGGGCATTTACAGTCACTTCCATTCTGCGTCTCTGATGTCTCTGAGTTTTCCTGTCTGCTTTTCACATCTTCTTGAGTTCTGCTAAAGTGAAAATTAGGAGTTTGGAAGTAGGTCAGAACCCCTATATGCCTGCACACAGAGTGGCAGCGCAGCTGTGTGGGAAGCATGAAGTTGTCACACCAGATGGGAGCAGTGACAGCACTTTGAGGAGCCTTTCTGTGTTCTTTCCTCAGTCATCTTACTCCTGTCAGGGGAGTGAAAGAAGACTTCGCGTGGAGAGTGATGATGGGAAAGTGAATTAATTTCCCCAGGGAACCTCTACTTCCCTTATATTTTAAGACCCATTGGATGCAGCATTTAGTGGGAAACAGTCTTCTTTGGTCCCTGGGGAAAGCCCTGGGTTGGTTCCATTTCCAGGCTGTGGGATCAGATTTCTGCCCATTCTAGTCTAGCTGATGTGGAGAATATATTGCCCCAGAAACAGTTGAAGGGAAGGCTGAGTGTTGTGTGTTGTGTGTTTCTCCGGCATGCAGTGGACATGTAGACATGTTTTATGGAAACATTACCTTGCAGGTCACTTTGGAACCTCTTGGGTGAAGCACTACTGTACGTATCAACGAGATTCCAAACAAATCACCATGGTACCATTTGACCAAAAGTCAGGAGGAAAGGGGGTGAGTTCATTTTTTAAATTTCATGCTTGATTTGCTTGGCTAACATATGATGATTATAATGCACGTATAAAGTAACACCTCCAATGTTTCACTGTAATTTTGTTCATTTTCATACAGTAGTTCAGGAGGCACAGTATCCTAAAAAGTAACATAAGGTAATTATTCTTAGCTCTAAGTTATATTAGGAATTGCAATTAAGGATTCTTGTATTTCACATATATACGATATTAAGTGTGTCCAATGTGTTTAGATGCTAGAAATTCTTGGGTGACCTCATCCTGTGAATCTGATTCATGTCACTCTCACTTGATACCTGGAGGGCAGCCAGTTGGCAGTTTAGATGATTCGGTTATCTCTTGCTCTGTCACGGATCACCCCAAAACTTAGCGACTTTTAAAACAAAATCAATCATTTTAGTGTTTCTCACAGTTTCTGTGGGTCAGGAATTCGGCAAGCATTCGGGTGGGTGGTTTGGGCTCGGGGTTTCTCATGCGGCTCCACTCAGATGGTGAGTAGAGCTGGAACAGTGAGGATCTGTAGCAGCAGCTCAGGGCTGCTCAGACATAGCTTTCTTCCTTTCTCCTGCTCTCGTCCTCTCTTCTTCGCTTCCCTCTTGCCCTCTTGCTCTGTACAGTCTCAGGGCCTGTCCATCTGGTCTCTGTGGGCTAGTTTGGGCTTCCTCACAGCACAGTGGCCTCAGGGCAGCTAAAGGTTTCAAGAGCAAGTGTTCCAGCCACGAAAGCAGGACTGGGTTGTCTTTAATGACCTAGCCTTGGAAGTCATTCTGCCTTACTTTTGTCTTCTCTGTTGGTAGAAACAGTCACAAAAGCCCATCCAGTTTCATTGGGAGAGGACGCAGACCCTGCCTCTCCATGGGAGGAGTGTCAAAGTCACATCGTATGAAGAGCATTGGGATGGGAGATATTCTTGTGGCCATCTCTGGAAGGCGTGGCCAGGCTGCCTCAGGCTCCCTGGGTCACTGCTGTTGGGAGCTCCTGGCTGTGCTCCAGCCGTGCTCCTCGCCTCTGGGCATCTCACTGATTGTGAGTGCGTTTCCTTTTCAGGTGGCCTGTCTTTTCTCTCTGGCTGCTCTTAATTGCTTCTCTCCTTTTTTCTTTCATTATTCTACTTTTCATTATGATGGTCCTATGTGTAAAATGTTTTTTCCCCAATCTGTTGTGCTCGGGAATTTTTGGCCTTTCTAGATTTGAAGATTGGTGTCTTTTAGTAACTTTGGAAAATTCTCACCAGTTATATCACTTTGGATTTTGCCCCCGCCCCGTTCTTTCTATTCTCTCCTTCTGGAGATATTTAAGTATTTTTAATAAAGTATTTCTATTTTTCATCTCTTTGAACCTCTGGACTCCAGTCTGGATAATTTCTCTGGTTGTATCTTTAGTTTAAATAATTTTTCAGCTGTGTCTGATCTGTTGATAGGTTAGACCTCTATAAGCATTCTAACCCTGTCCTCTCTGTGGTGCATTTTTGTGCAGCATGTTGGGTCTGCACGTGTGTGGGCATTACAGTATAGAGGCTAAGGACACTGGCTTTGAAATTAGACTGCCTGGGTCAGTGATGTTAGATGCTAGTAACATCATTACTGTTAGCTACTCTGCCATGCTGCCCCCTTTGCTCTCTACCTCTTCCAGGTTTTTTTCCTGGCTTTCTTTTACTTAGGTCACTATACAAGGGTTTATCAGCATCTCTTTTCCTTCCCTGTATCAAAGCAAAAAAAGCCAAAGCCCTTTTAATGTTGCTTGTCTGGGGTGGAATAATCTCCAGAAAACAGACATGTTAAAGTATCAAAACAGAGAAATTACAGAGTTAGAAGGAATATTAAAACTCTGTGTTAATAGGTGTCCCCTAGTATTCATGAAATGGAGATGGAGTGAGGTCTGCCCTCCTTGGATTGAGTCAGTCCTTTCCAACTCTTAGTCCTTGTAGGAACCAGCTTCACTGAATTATTCTCTCACACAATCTTTACTTGGGTGCTTTTTGTCTTGTGCTTTCTTAACCCTGTAATGAAGAACTCTCTTGTATTTTCTCTGCTCCTTTCTTATCACACTTGAAAGTGAAGGGCAAAGGCCAATTATGGTGGATGTTTGGGACTCCTAATACTTTGGTGAGATAATAGTAAGCACCTCACCGAGTTGTTAAGAGCTTTATATGAGTTTGTGTATATAAACTTCTTGGGGCAGAGCCTGGCACGTGATGAGTGCTTTATTAGGAGCTTGATATTATAATAAATAATTTTCCTAATAATTTCTTATCTTTATATTATGTTTTATAGTTTTATAAGTCTTTTTATTGTCCTATATTATCCTGTTTGATCCAGTTTTCCTCCTTTATAAAAGAAGAAATTGAGGTTCAGAGAGAAAAAAATGAATGATTTCTAAGGCCATATAACTAATGAATTATCGAGCTGGTACTCAAACCCTGATTCTGGAGTCTGCGTCTCCTGATTCTGAGGCCTATAATAATAATAATAATAATTTTCTATATATATATATATATATATATATATATAGAAATAATATAACAGCTTTCCCTGACGTCACTCTGTTTCTTCAGGGTGGTGGAAGTATGCAGACTGGCCCTCTAGAGATGATGTCTTCTCAATTTAATACAGAGACTCATGTGATATCTTTATATATGTGTTTGTACAAAGCTCTCCAGGAGCTGGAAGTAGACGTAACATAGATAATAGGGTGTTTTCTTTTCCTAACATGATTTTTCTCCACCCGTTCTCTCCCTTCACTGTCCCTTTCATTTGGATTATTTTCCTTTAACAGTACTCGCTTTTCTCTTAGCTTTGGTTCAGGAGATGTGAGCAGATTTGCTCCATCCTCTTGGAGACCAGACACCGTGTGTGGTGAAGGAGAATTCCCCGCATCTTACCCTCTGAGATGAGGCAGCTCCCTGCAGGAGCTCGGAGCAGCCCACAGCTGACCCTGTCTCTTCCACTGCCTGAAACCCTTCATTATTTTCCCACTGCTCTCAGGATAAGACCAGACCACAGCCAGCATACTCTGGCCCCTGCCTCCCTCAACCCTTTCTCATTCCACTTTCCCTCTTGCTCTGGGATTCCAGATGCATTGACTTTCCCTTCAGTTTCTCCAGGGTTCTGTGGACCCTGACCACAGGGCCTTTCCACCTGCTGTTCTCCATCTCCTGATTCTGTTCTCTTGGTTTTATCTCCTGTGAATCCTTCAAATCTCAGGCCAAGAAAGCCTTTTCTGACCTTGCTGATAAGGTCAGATCCCCTCAATTTAGTCTTTTGTAGCACAGCCTGCCTCTCTTTTTGCTTGTCACTTGAAGCTTTTCATTTATTTGTTTAAGTGATTGTTATCTATGTCTTCCCCTTTTTTAAACCATCAGTAGTTGAACAGATCATCTTTGTATATTTTTTCTCGTATGGTGTGGTTATCCTTGGAACAGAATATGTCTCTTTTTTCTGCTTGTATTTGACACTTTTATAGATCCGCTGTTCCCTCTCATTTCTCAGGGACACCGCCTCATAAGCTTTGCAAGTGGAAGCTGGCCCATGGCTATTCTGAAATACAGTTAGACATTACCATGGTCAGAATCCCATATGTTTGGGTGTTACACTCACATGTGTACACACTGAAAGAACAGCTCTCAAGCTGAGAAATTAATCTTAGCTATTCAGTTAAAGACAAGAGTTGTAAGGCTTCTGAATATAAACTGTCTCTTCCTAGGTCTCCTTTTTGTGTGCTATTCTGATATTAGTGGGTAGTTAAATTTTACCATACACAGTCACATTTCCTGTTATTGCAACAAACTGGGCAAGTTTGCTAATTCACCCCTAGTTTAGAAAGAAAGATTGGCAGAGGCGGGAGAAACAGGAAACTTAACAAATTCTTGTGTGACAGAAAGAGAAGAAATCAGGGACAGAAACCTCTATGTTTCTAGGCAATAACTTATCTATGTGATAAAACTGTTATATTCCCTTTGTACAATGGAATACTACTCAGCAATGAAAAGAAATAAACTCTTGATTCACACAACAACATGGATGAATAGCAAAAGAATTATGCTGAGGGGCCTGCCTGGTGGTGTAGTGGTTAAGTTTGTGTGCTCTGTTTTGGTGGCCTGGGGTTCATGGGTTCGGATCCTGGGTGCAGACCTACACACTGCTCATCAAGCCATTCTCTGGTGGCATCCCACATACAAAATAGAGGAAGCTTGGCTCAGATGTTAGTTCAGTGACAATATTCCTCAAGCAAAAAGAGGAAGATTGGCAAGAGATGTTAGCTCAGGGCCAAGCTTCCTCGCCAAAAAAAAAAAAAAAAAAAAGAATTATGCTGAGTGAAAGAAGTCACATATAAAAGGACATTCCATTTATATAAAATTATAGAATATGCAACCTAATCCATAGTGACAGAAAGTAGATTCATTGTTTGCCTGGGAATGGACTGGGTGGAGGGATAGATTACACAGGGACACCAGGAAACTTTTGGAGGTGATGGAAATGTTCATTAACTTGATTGTGGTGATGTTTTCATGAATGTATACAGATGTCAAAACTCATAAATTGTCCACTTTAAACATGTTCAGTCTATTATGCAGTAGTTGTACCTCAGTAAAGCTGTTAAAACATATATGTTGATCACCTACTCTGTTCCAGGGCCTATTTGGGCTCTGAGGACACAGGAGTAAGTAAAAACAGATAGAGTTCCTTCCCTGAGGGAGCTTCGAGTCTAATGAGGAGAGAGACGTTATTTGAACCATCGCTCATATCAACAGAAAGTGTCAGCCATGATCAGTGTTGTGAGGGAAGGAGAGGTGCATGGTGCTATGTGAACACATCTGGGGGTATTGGACCTGGTCCAGGAAGGCTTTCCTGAGAAATGACGCCTGAACCAAGATCAGAGAAGCTCAGTAGGGAGGAGACCTCAAGATCATCTTGTTTCAGCTATTATCAAACCTACAAATTAAAGGAAAACACTATCAACAAGAGTTTAATCTAGCACAGGTTGGTGCTGTACCATCAGGATCTACCAGTACTGGAGACATCTGGCTCTAAAGGGAACGTGGTTTACAGGTAATAGCTGCATCGGGCTCTTGCTTGAGAAGGTTTCTGGTCAACCTTCTACCTCCTGTCATCGTGGGCACTCAGGTTTGAGAAGATGAAATGATCACTCTTGTTCTGTGGCACGCTTGTCTAGGAGAGGAGCAGGGCCCACATTCTGGCCTCATCTTGATAGTCTGTGTGTTCCCAACAGGGAGAAGATGAATCAGTCACCCTGAAATCCTGCACACGGCGGAAAACAGACTCTATTGAGAAGAGGTTTTGCTTTGACGTAGAAGCAGTAGACAGGTGAGTAGCTGTCACACTTGTCTCAAGAGCGGATAGTACTGAATATGGATTTCTTACCTTTTCCATTCAGTCAGAACTCTGCGTTTTTTTTCCCCCACTCTTTCCCTTCTCCATCCCTCTACTGACATTCAGTCTGGAGTAGACCTCAGGCCTGTTGCAGATTCCCAAGGAGCCTCCCCTTCTTTGAGGTCCATCATGGAGCTGCCAATTGGTTGGTTTTATTTTCATGATGGGGCTTCCCTGCTCAGGAGTGTGTGTTATGTCTCAGGAGGTTGAGTAGATGTTTAAACAAAACTGACTCTTTAGCATGACTGTATCAGCTATTTGAGATTTTTTTATTTTAAAAATTATTTTTTTAATTTAATAAAGTGATTCAAAAGGAATTGGGTAAAGGGAAGGGTGGAAGTTCTACTCAATTTAAAAAAAAACAGCTTTTAGTTACAGCATTTCACCTACCACTGTGTGTGCGCACCCAGGAAAGACAGAAAACCACTTGCGAGATGAGTCTCCTCGAGATTTATAGAATCTCATTAAGTTGTACCATTTCATGGTGTTAAGCTAGTCTGACAACATTCCTATTCTTTGAAACACTTTTACTTGGCAACAGGTTAATCCTTTCATTGAAAGCCACGTGTTAAGCTTATTTGAGCTGTGTTCAAGATCAGCAATGCTAGCATGAAGATCCTTAAATCTCAGCATGATTCTCATAAAATGCCATTTAATTTCTCCTGTTTATTTTAAAAAAAAAAGCCACACCGTTTTATCAAGCTGGTACTGCTTCCTTCCCTGCCTTCCCATGGGACATGTACCCGTGGCCACTTTTCCCCGGCTCTAGAGCATGCAGAGAGTGAGTATTGCCTGGAGTGTGCTCCTCCCCGTTGGCAGGTTAGGAATGCCTTCCCATGGTGTGGTGTCTCTGCACCGTGTCTGCTGGAGCCTGCTAGGGTTCCCATGGAAAGAGCAGGCCCTTTTATCCTAAATCAGAAGTTCATGGAAACTAACCACATCGCTTTAGCGGTTTAGTCATTATACCTGTGGCTCTCAACTCAGGCCACCTGGGTCTACATTTTGACTTTGCTGCTTAGTAGCCACGTCACTTTGGGCAAGCTACTTAATCTCACAGTGCCCTGATTTCCTTCTCTGGAAAATGAAGATGGTAATAGTCCCTAGTTCTTAGAATTGTAAGTGTTCAAGGAGGTAATGCATATAAAATGCTTGGCAGAGTGGCTCAACAAGTATTAGCTATTATTATTGGCTGTTAATTAGCTTGTCCTGTATGTTCATCAGACTTGATATTTCATGGGGTTACATTCTAAATGTAGAAAAGTCAATATATGTTTTAAAGAAAAGAAAGTACCCCAGTTCTTCACTCTGTTTGGGAATGTGAGAGGGTAAGGTAATAGAGAATGGCTGCATGGGGGGTTAGGTTGAATTGGGGTAGCAAAGGGGAATTGCAAAAAGTCTATCTCAAACTAAAATTGGTTATTCTTGGTTTTAAACAAATCCTAACTCAGGATGCTTTAAGCTCTTCTAGGCTTCTCTCTTCCTAAGCATGGAATTTAAGGGAATCCATGTTGGCATCCATAAGAGGTTCAGAAGATATGTGTGTTTGGAAGCAGAGCCTGTTGTTTGGTGCTGGTCAAAGGTGTAGTTCCTAGAGATGATCATCTGTTTGCAGGGCTGTTTGGAAGAGGGCATGCCTCCCATTGCAGGTCTCTGTTAGATTAAAAACAAGCTCTAAGATGCTTTCTGGAGCTGAATTGTTTTCTCCTTCGGAAGTTTCCCCAGAAGTTGTAGAAAGTTGCTTTTTAGGGAATTAAAACTCACCATGGTGCCTCCATCTCATTTCCATCCTGCAGGCATTTCCTACCACCTTCCCCCTTTATTATGCCCAGAAAAGGTTTGCATGTCCCAATTATAAGCTGACAGCATGTGTCACATTCAACATACTGAGTGGGTTTGGGAAGTCAATTTCTTCTAAGTTGCTGTCTCTGGTTTCCTTGGTAAGACATGGAGGGGTTTCAGTTGTGGTTCAGGATGAGGCTCCTAAATCTCCTCTCAATAAACAGGAGGTGAGTAGATAGTTCTATTGGATTATTTATCATTTTTATTTTCTGTATATTATGATGTTTGACACCTTAAAAACTTTTATGGCTGGGGAGAGACTGCCCCTTTCAGGGCTAGCCAATTCTTAGAGATAGCCAAGGGCGCAGCCTGGAGCATGCCATCAATGTGCAGACGCACCAGTCCAGAGCCCCACCTCCTCCATCTGGCCTGAACACCCCAGGAGGCAATGTTCTTCTGCCTTAGTCATCTAGGGCCAGTTACCAGGCACCTAGGGACCACTCCTATAGCTTAGTGACCCCTGAAATTATTCAGATTAGCCAACCCTAAACTGTTTACTCTGCCCTGCCTTGCCTTTCCCATGGAAACTCTGATGAAGGCCTTGGCCTAGGCTCTCCCCTCCTGCCCCTTCTGCCTCCTGGCTGATGCTGGTTCTTTCCCACATGGCCATGTGTGGTGTTCCATGCATCGTGTTTCTAGCACCTGTGAGTATAAGAAACTTCATTTACCTGAGCCTCTTCTGTGTCTCCTCTTGTGGCTGCACCTTCCTGACTATCACCTAAAAGAACACAGAACATCTATGAAACAACTTCTCTCAGTTTTCTCTATAGGTCATCATCTTTGTTCTCAAAGATTGGGTTACAGTTGAGCAGTGTTTTCCTTATCTTTTTCCTCTTTGACCCCAGTGTCTGCATTTTCCTCACCCATCCAGGGAGGGACTGAGGAGAGAGGGAAAAGAGAAAAGTCCTGTTTTCTGGGAGATTCCTACACTGTGCTTTTTCCCCAGTGCACTTTGCAAGGAGATCCTGCTGCCAGCTGTCCTGTTGTTGCCTTTTCAACTCTGCCTTCTGCAGATTTCTCAGCTCTGCCTGCTGGGCTGGAGAAGCAGAGGGATAACAGGCAAGTTTAGCACCTAGGAAATGTGGAAGTAAAGGAGAGAATGGCTCTGTTAACAGTGTAAGGTCTGAAAATGCCCCTAGAGTATGTTAGCTGTAGAATACAGAAATGTTTCTGTACTGGCTGTTAATGTTTTATTCTATCAAGATATAAATACATGCTAAAGAGTGATTCATTTGACTTAGAATATGCAGGTTGTGGGTTTTTAAGGTTGCATACTTTGATCCTTTGGGCTCAGTCCTGATATTTCATGTTATTTTGTAACAGAAGCTGTAGCCTTCAGGAAGTGATATTCCAGGAGGTCAATATTGTGAGTTGATCACATCAGCATCCCCTCTGTGTGGTGAGAGACACCTGCACTCAGCATCCATTGCAGGTGCTTCTTAGAACTGCAGCTTCTTGCTTCCTGCCCCAGACCTGCAGTCTGACTTTCTGGGGGAGAGATCCTGAAATCCACTTTTTGAACAAGATCTTAAGTTGTCCTTTATTCTCACTCATAATTGGTACATTAAACACCATACCTATCACAGTACAATTTTCTCAGAGTATGTAAAAGTTTTCCGTATGAAAAACATAATAACAAGAAACAACAGTAAAGCAAAACTAGAACAAAAAATCAGTCTCCTTTACCAAGAAGCTTAATTCTTACCCATATGGAGAAGAATATAGCTAGTAGAAAAGGTGATTTCAGTCTCTGATACAGATTACTAGGAAAAAAGCATCAACAACCCCAATAAGACCCACTTTTTTAGTTAAAGATGGAGGAGGGATGGGGCTGGCCCCGTGGCCGAGTGGTTAAGTTCCCGCGCTCCGCTGCAGATGGCCCAGTGTTTCGTTGGTTCGAATCCTGGGCGCGGACATGGCACTGCTCATCAGGCCACGATGAGGCAGCGTCCCACATGCCACAACTAGAAGAACCCACAACGAAGAATACACAACTATGTACCGGGGGGCTTTGGGGAGAAAAAGGAAAAAATAAAATCTTTAAAAAAAAAAAAAAAAGAAGATGGAGGAGGGATGGGCGAGGGAACCAGCGGCAAGAGAGTACTCTCTGGAAGCTGAACGCTGTTCATACATATCTCAAGTAGTCCTCACACAGCCCAGGGAGGTATGGGTCCACTTCTCCCCTGTTAACTGCTGAGGAATCTGCGGTTTAAACGGGTGAGTCTTACCCAAGGCTCAGGTGGGATTTGAACTGAGGTTTGTAGGAGCTCATTCCAGGGCATCTCGGTGCTGCCTCAAAACTCAGGATATTTTAGAAATGTTTTTGAGTGATGAGCCCAATGCTATCGGTACTTGCATTTCAGAGACACCCCTGAATGTTCAGTTCACTGGCTGTCGAATCTGAGAAGTGCTTTCTTACTCTGACCATTTGCTTTGGGCACCTAAACTGATGGTGGGTGAACTAAAGCCACAAACTTGCTTCTGTTTTTATATTTACTCTGTGACCTTCAGAAAGTGCCCACATGACTAACAATTTAAAGAGGCAATGCAGACAGAGCACAGGCCAGGCACATGGCACATAGTAGGTGATCCATGGATGCTAGGTTTTTTTGTATGTGTCTTCTTCTACCTGTTATTTTTAAGATGACACTCGTTTCTCTATCTAGGGAGACTAGCATTGAGTGAGAAATCAAAACAATAGCGCCATTTATCAGTTGATTATTTTCATTGTATCCCAACACATTGCTGTCAGTTTGTTAATCCTCAAATCCTGATGGAAAGGGGTTAGTTCCTGACATTTCCGTCCTATAGGAAGAACTGTTGTGACTTCTTGACCCGTGAATGAGCTGCAAATCAAATTAAGTGTTAATTCAGAGCTTTGGCATTTAGATCTATAGTTTTTGAACTTTGTATGTCAAAGATCCTCTTTAATGCTGAATACATTTCAGAAATCTACTTTTAACTCTTCTAAGTTCTTTTACCTTTGACATCCCAAAACTAGGCTTTTACGAGTACCTCCTCTGTATCCTACACCCTTCCGTATTGACTTCCACATAATTACATTATTCCACATAATTCCTTCTCACCTCTCCCTT